TTTAAATTTGAAACATTTTAATGATCGTTTGGTTTAGGTCAAAACCCTACTAAAGGCCAAAAACACGCACTGCAACTTTCGTTTTGCTATTATATTAGTCAAGGTTTTTTTAATGAGCTTTTAACTTTTAAATATATTTGATACGTTCAAATAGGTCTACTTTGTATTTATTGTCGTCAATATAACCAGAATTTTAACGCTAACTTCCTTGTTTTTTTGGTTTATTTAGGAATTTTTTTGCCTTTAATAACTTTTTTCTACGATTTTTTTGTTTCTACATCAATAGTTATCGTAAAACGGAGGACAGTAAGAATTAACACTTACCTAACACTTTTTTACCTGATTTAAATGTTTAATGAGGACATACTCCGCATTTTGAAGGCTTTTTAGCGTAGTTATTTTGACGTGATTTTATTGACACATTATCCTTAATCGTAAATACTACGTTCATTTATTTACATTTCGACGCAACAACACGTAATTATTATGATACTTTGGTGTTGATGATTGATGAAATATCCAGTTCGACAATCCCTAACACCCCACATCTGTCAGGATAGTGGCCCAAGTGAGAAATTAGCGAGGGACTTTGCTGCTGTACACTTGCAGCAGAGCCGCGTCATACATTGCTGGTCTCTTCTCCACTTGCAGTCCAGCTGGCTTCAACTGTATCCGAGTATCCATTCACCTTACGGGTATTTCTTTCTATATTAAGAAGCTAAGCTGCAACTAATGGTCTCACAAGAGCAATTCAGACCGAGTACATAACAAAACCCCATTTTCACAATGAACTTTAACCTTGATATTGTAGACTCCTCTTTGTACTCTAAAACATTACATCTCTCTAACTGTCCCTACGCTCTCTTATCGTGACCAGGCATGTTACAATACCGCGCCTCCTACGCGTCTGTTTCTGGTTGGCTCTCTATCTTTCCTGCATGCCATTCGAACGCAAAGATAGAGAGGATTGGCCAAGTCCATTATCTCTGCGCACATATACGTCGCTATTGCAGAATACCCGAGCCCTAGTATTAACGAGACTGGTACAACATGACAGGCTTTATTGACTAATCACAAGCCAGAACCACATGTCAGGCTCTGTCCACCCGAGTTTACCACGCCGGCTATGTCGCTCGTTATGTACTGCTCCTCATTAGTGTCTTTCCTTGGTTGGCTGTATATATTCCTCACATGCCATTGGATCGTAGAGACAAAGCGTTGGCTGAGGACAGGGTGGTCCAATATGTCAGTGCCCTCAGACTACGCCGCATTACGTTACGTCCATTTAAAAAAAATTGACTGCTTATTGTAGCTGTTGTCATTATATTAATTGTTTTGTATATCCGAAATACAATTTTGCTTTAACGTAATGGCTTTCATGTCCTTCGATCTCGGCGCGATTATTTACTATTGATTGTGCTGGGTTTATTAAAAATATTATTCATAATAAACAATAATTGATGATGACATCAGCCCTGTAAGTTTTCCCAATAAATTTACTTATCTAAACTGTTGTGTCTATAATTGGAGCTTATTAAGTTACGTCTGTTATGTGTTACCAAAACGAGTGCAACTCAAGGTTTCGCAACTGGTTAGGTTCAAGATGAGGCATTTTTAAATAATGTTCGGGTGATGCTGTTTATAATCTATAAAATTATTACAAACATTGATTAATCAGTTTTTCCCACCCTTTTAGACAGTTTTATTCCAATGTTGTCATCAAAGGACGTGGAAACCTGTTTGACGAACTTGCTACAGTTCTGAGAAGAAAGGTAACTGGGAACTGTTGAGTACTGCATCTATTTTGATATAAAAAATATGTTACAAAGATAAAAGAAATCATAAATAAGAATTTTGTTCAAAGTGCCATTATTGCTGCAGCATTTCTCGATGAATTGCTAGAGATTTCTTTAATACAAGCTGACGACTTCGAAGGCTTAGTCAAGTTAAATCAAAATGTGCGAGCCTGTGAAGCCATGTTAACTCAGTTTAATTAACCATCTAAACTAAATTCCTACAGTATTCTCAATTCGATATTGTAGACTTCCAATGGCACTGCAGTTTAAATGGGTTAAGATGGCTGGCAGAATACAAAGGCAAGTAGACAAACAAATTTTGACGATTTACAAAAATTTGTGAAAGAACACGCTGACATTGCCACCTTCAGATTAAATGATATAGCCAAGCATTCTATAACGGAGCATACCTATAAAAATTGTGTGACCACAAATTGATCTTAAATATAAATTAAAAATGTTAAATTAATGAAGAAATTAAATGAAATTACAACAACTATGTCGTTTATAAAATAATAGTATTCTCTTGACATTTTTAAAAGGGAAGTTTGAAGACATTGATGATGTGCAAAATAGAGCCTCAGCTAGTCTATATTGAGAGGAACTAACAATAAATCTTTCTGAGTTTTACCACTTATGTTTTCATATAATGTAGAATATCGTTTCCATATTTTATAACATTAATATTTTTAAAATATGACGCAGAATTGAATTTGATTCTTCTTCCAATAACGATCACTGAACACTTACGTACCGAGATCATTAATCATTCTGTTTAATTTACCGGGACTATTTGCTGCAATCGACCTCGTACATCATACTAGTTGAATACTTTTTCTTGCAACGGCCAAGGCTTTGCTCTATGGTAAAATTATTAGTTGATAATCGGCTAAAAATTTTTATTGTCTTCACAGAAACCTTGGGTGCATATTTTTTTGTCGACAAAAATTTGTCCCGAAAATTTTTATAAATGTTTTTAAGCAATTTTCGTTATTATAAAAGTGAGATATGTGCTTTGGAATGTCATATTGTGTCTTTTGATTCATCCAACAATCTCGTAATTACCCCGTGATCCTTAAATTGTACCATCCCTATTGGCTAGTAGTGTCGTGTGGAAAGTGAAGGGTATTTTTGTGCTGTGTTCTCGTTTCGCTGTGACAACTGTGCAGGAAAATGTCGGGAGGTACCCAGTATCCTAATGATATGTTTACTGGTTGGCGTTACTATTTCAACACTTACACTGTCAAGGGTCGTTCGAACGTAAGTAAAATTGTTTTTTTTTAAGTTGGGCATTGAAAACATTTCGTTGCCAATTTTCTTATGAATCTGTCTCGAAGTTGAAAAAGGTATATTTATCATACTCTTTAATCGCTGATCTTAGTTTTGGTTGCTATAATGACAGCCTGTTTGAGGTTGATCGGCGTTTTTGATATTATTTATCCATTCTGCCAGTGAAATGTTCCACAGCTTTTCCGTGAAATGCATCCTACCTATGCGACATTCCAAGCAAAGTACTTTTACTAGTTCGTTTTTAAAAAAATCTCCAATTAGAACAGAGGGTCTTCGATTACTTATCCTCAGCAAAGCTGACTTCTGAATCTAAATTTCATTCATTTTTGTATTTTATTATTACTCATATCCACATTTAAACTGCCGTGCTTTTGCAAACTTTAGTGGTTCACCATTAAAAAAAGCGTTACTGGATAGGTTGTCCGCGTTACTTAACCTCTTTATTCCTTTTGGCTATTTCCAGCATAAATTTTTTTCGTCTGTGTCGGTGCAACTTCACATACATATGTTGTAAATGCATTTAGTCCACCTAAGTTTGTCAAGATTCGATTATTGCCTTCAATCCTTTTATTTTTTTAGACTGTGTATGCCACCTACGCTGCCACTGCTCTCATTGCTTTCGCTGTTAGTCGACGAATCAAAAAGAATCGCGCGTTGAAGCAGGCCGCAGAAAACACTTCGTAAATGTTGTGTAGAAAGAGCAGTCGCTTGAGGACTTTTTGTAGTTTATCATTGCATAGATGCTTTGAGTAATTTGTCGTTTCGGTCAAAACTATTTGTGGTTGACTACATGTAGTTAATACATAAATCTTACGCTGTACATTACTATTAGTTGGTAGTCCTACTTCAACACAGTGTATTCCATTCTATATTGGACATTTCATACACTAATGACAGTCCAAGCAACTACCATTTTCAATGTAATCGAACGTTTATTAATTGGTACAAATGGCTATTAGTATATGAAGACTGCGAACAGAATTTTGCTTCTAGGATGTCTATGCTTTGTCACTTGGTGAATGTCCTCCAATTTGCGATTTAAACTCCTCTCTTCTAAGCCTTATCCATATTTATGGGCAATTCATACACTAAATTTCACTATTGAAGGTTGGTTGAGCCTTTGATCAAATTACTAGGTCCCTCAAGATGTTTAAATCAAACGTTTTTGAAGTCCATTTGAGCCAGCCTCAAACCATGTGTATTTTCCAATTGAGTTGAAATAGATGGGACGAAGAATGCTTCGCGGCTCACCCGGAGTTGATAACTTAGGCTGGGTGGGATTTTCGCGAGGAATGAGGTTGCAAGCCCGTTTATAGTACTCTCTAGGTAACCAGCATAATTCTCTAAATAAGCAAAGCAAGTTCACGTATATAATTGAACTTAAGTCGGCCCAGTCAATTCTATTTCAGCAATGTAAGTACTGATATTTCGTCGTGATTTTGAGTAGCAACGTGGCGCTGAAGCTGCGTCATCCATTTGCCACACTCGAGTGAGATCTCGAGCACTTCACTAGCGCTAGTCTTCGTTTTCGAAGAGCGAATGCACTAGCGACCTGCGACAACTGAGATCAGCTAATCTTTGTGCCTCGTACTGCTCAGCGCGGTCTAAAGGACCATTCAGCCCACTAACTTGATCCTATCGAGAAAATCTAACTGGCTATGCGCTGTAAACTTGTATGTGAACATGTTGATGCCAATATAAAAAGAAAAAACCCTCGCAGAATTTAGAAATTGCAATTGATTAACGACAGACAATAAAGGCGCACTTAAGGAGCTAGGTTACATTTAGCAAAAAACATCAAATTTATCGACCTTTCTTATGAATTTACAAGTGACTTGTATAAAACACGAAAAGTTATTAAATGAACAAAGTACGGAAGCACGGGTTAAAATTTTTTTAGTTGATGCATGTCCGTCAGAACTCCACGTGATATGGTGTCTCCACCGCAATGGATCCGGAAGATGCAATTTTTACTTCTTCTAATGGCCGGTCTCTCGCATCGGTTTTTCCACTTCCAATTAGCTCAACAAGCTCCTACAGAAGTGAGAGGGAAAATTAACATTAATATTACCATTCCCTCAAGAACTTTGCCAAATACGACGTGCTTGTTGTCCAGCCAGGCTGTTTTAGCCAAGGTAATAAAGAATTGACTTCCATTTGTGTCGCGACCTGGAAAACGTCACAAAACGGGACAACTAACCTGCATTGGCCATTGAGACCCAGCCAGGACCTTCATGGCGTAACTTAAAGTTTTCGTCTTCGAATTTGTTGCCATAAATGCTGAAACCACCAGTTCCATCCATGTTAGTAAAATCACCGCCCTGAATCATGAAGTCTTTGATGACACGATGGAAGATGGTACCCGCAAACCCATAAGTTTTGCCGTCTTTCTACATCATTATATTAATATTGGATCAGAATATACTTCATATCCATCGGCGAATGCTTTAAAGTTCTTGACAGTTTTTGGCACGGTACTGCCGAAGAGGCCTATAACTATTCTCCCCTCAGGACGCCCTCCTATCGTTATATCGAAGTACACCTTTTCAGTAACTTGGGGGCCTTTTTTGGCATAACACGTAGCAAGGAAGAAGAGAGCAACAAGAAGAATTCTTGGAGGAACCATTGCACAAGCAGTTACGACGCTAGATTTCCGCGTGAACAATACGTCACCTTAAAGAACATTGACACATTTAAACGGAATGAGTGCACGCATAACTATAAAAATGTTGTCAAATTAAAAAAATATAGAGCATACAGCGAAAATTAGGCTAAAAATATTCATTTACGTAATCGATAATGAACTGCTAATATTATTCAACGTGAAATTAGTTTCCAATTAATGACGAATACCCGCAGTAGAAAATGATCGAATTGGGAAAAATGCAGTATTTTGTTTCAACTTTCACTCAAATAGGGACTTTTTTTCATTTTCCAAATAGTACAGGAGAGTGCAAAGGCAAAATACTTGGAGATTACGACAGCTTACCTTTGAAATTGACGATAATAATCACAGATCCTGTGCCATTGTGAGTGACGTAAGGTATAATAATTTGCAAAATTTTCTTATTGGCAAAAATCGCAAAACTTTATTTTTCCTTACAGTTAAAATGACTGTTGGGTGCAAAAAATACCCATTTAAATTGAAATTCTATTTTAGGTGTTCTAGCTTTCATTTCTGTTACAACATTTCACTTACGCTCTGTCATTCGTGGCGAAACCCTGTTTTTTCGCATGCCATTGCAGCGTAGACACCACCAAAGCATACTTTGGTCTAACCTTGTAATTGAAAGCATAAGTAAACACAGTTTCTTCGAGTCGGCCGCATATTTTATTCCCTTGTTCTTTTTAGGATAATATCAAGATGACATCTCTGTCACTAAGCCCAACATCATCCATGAATTCCGGCCACGGAAATACTGCTAACTTGTTGCGTGATTCAATAAACCAAATCGGTGACGACGCTGGTGGTGGAAATTGCAAGTTGTGTGATACCACAAACTCTATCAAAGATACCAAAACATTAGACAAAGCTTTGCTTCCCCAGAAAGCTCCAGTTATATCACTCACCTCCTCGACCACCTTGCGGCAAATCCTGTCTGACGAATTTTCGCCACCTTCTCCGAAGACGCCTTCTATCTTAAGTCGCCGCAATTCACTGAGCAGAGCTAAAAAGAAAGCAAATCACGTTGCTTTCGGGCTTGTTGATCTCTATCACTTTGATCGTTTACAGGGTTTTACTTGCGTACCTAGTCAGGGTGGATCCACTTTGGGCATGGCAAGTGAGCATTGGGTGAAAGAACACGTACCAGTAGCAGTACACCAAAGTCGACGCAGGTACCAACGCCACTCGGCACTGCTGCGTTTTTGTCTGGAGGGAAAGCTTCTCTTATCTCTCCAACAGTTTCGATTACTTGAAACTCGCGTTAAGTACCAGCAGCAACTACTTATGCGGACACAAGAGTCCGCGGATTGCAGTAGCACCAATAGCAGTGGCAACTCTTATTCTGCCGAATCTAGTGCTGAGTGTTTGAAACGACCGTTAGAACAAATAGAAAACCCAAGTGATGAAGACTTGAGTTTTTTGGATGGTCTTGAGGAGTACTACTTTCTTCAGCCCCTCCCTGTTAAGCGACGTCGGATTTTGTTGAGAAAGGCAGGTGAGTAAACCAACTGATTAAAAGCGAATAAACACTCATACAGTTGATATTGCCATTCCCTAAAAATTACATGCACAAATCCCTAGCCCTACAGAACTGACCATCCACTGTAACCAGAGCACATTGAGTCATGTATTCACTTGCTTTGCCGGAGTCACAGACCGTTTAAGTGAGAATAGTCATTTAGGGAGGTTGGTCTGACGTCGAGTTGCCCCCTGGAAGGTAATCCAACGTGGATAGCCCTTCTTCGTTTTGGCTTTGGCTTTGGAATTCCCAAGAGTAAGGTGCAAGTTAGCAATAGTAAGAAATCCGAATTGAAGTAGAAGCGATTTGGAAATGTAGCAGAACGACAGGTTTATGATTTGTGACTGCTACCCTCCGTTGGTTTGGTTTTTATCGCATTGGCCCGGTCACTGACGTTTGTTTGTACAAACCTCAAAGTTTGAAATGTAATGTGTAAACCTACCTTCATCAGTTAATTTGACTGCAGTTGTTGTTGTTGTTTTTTGGGTGCTTTGTCGCATTAGTGCTCTAGTTTCAGCTTTGTGTTGCTGGGAAAACATGAATTCTCCTAATTGGCATATTCACCAACTGCCGTCGTAGTCGATGTCATGTTTTCTCGGCCAGTGCCCTTGACTTCCGAATGTCACAGTTTGTTTTGGGTTGCCTTGTTCACTGTCACATTCTCTACGTTCAGACTGCTAGATTCGGTAACCACTAATGTGTAGTTTTTTTTCACTTCGAGATTATTCTTGGCATTTTTTGGCTTGCAGAAGAATACCTGGTTTCGGGTCTGAGAGCCAGTATATTGTGCTACCACTGTGTACGACCCTGGTTTAGACTTACTATCCTACTGCGGACACACGTAACCAAAGTAGACAGCTGCGGGTTCATCGAAGGATGTCCGGTTTAGCAGAATCGCCCAAATAGTTTGTGCTGCTAGGTTTCACACTCGTTGGTAACTACGTTGTTCTTTTGTGTTCTTAACAAATGTGTCAAACGATTGCCTCGGAAATATCAAATATCTTTTTTCTGGGTATATAGTGGTGAGCTGTTTGTTTGGTGTATTGCTAAGTCGACCGTGCATTCCATGATTAATATCAGTTTATTTAGACACGGGAATGCCCTCAAATTAGACTTATAGAGGTAGGGCAACCGTAAAATTAGTTGAAGTTCACTTTTTTAATGTTGGCCATAGGTAGTCGATTGTGTTTTTTTGGTTGTGACAGGTGGAAATTGATTTGGATGGTGACGCTCCTGTGCAAGTCCTCTTTGCGCACCTATATTTAACTATTATAATAATATGCATGTTGAGGTTGTGTGCAGGGAACCAAAGTGGAGTCTCATTCCGTTGCGATTGTTTTAGGCCTCCAAAAAATCGACCCAGCTGAGAAGCACGAGTGTGCTGCAATTCGGAAAAGTCGTTCCGAGTGTGGTTGTACGTGCCTCGCGGGAGTCTGCGATCCTGACACGTGCGAATGTGCGCTCAACGGCATTCCCTGTCAGGTTGACCGCGCCAGCTTCCCGTGTGTATGTCTGAGTCCAGGCCACTGCTCGAATCCCGAAGGACGCATTGAATTCAACCCCGTGCGAGTGCGCAGTCACTATCTTCACACCCGCCTACGCCTCGAATCCGAGGAACAAAGGGCAGCACTGGAGGAGGATGAAGAGGCCGCGTCAGCTTGCGCCAAGCGACCACGGATGGCCGAAACACCTGAGCACCTGGACGGTGCCAACACCAGCAACGCGTCACTGGAGAAGGTAGGACGCATTGACTCCGTCCTTATAACAGCTTTTTTAGCTTGGGGCGTAATATGCCAGTAGGCTGTCAAGCGTTCACAAATAATAATTGAGACGTGTACTCAAAATGGTACGCAAATTCAAAACCCCTCTGAATGTTTTTTCCCCTAATTCGGCTTTTCCCCAACGCGTCGCCTGACATCCGGCCAGTGTTAGGTGGGTTTATATAAGGAGTGGTTTCATCAAGCACTGCTCCAAACACACAGTGGTAAAATGTGGATCAGATCATATGCGGAACAGTTCCGAATCCGAGACCGGAATGTCATTAAAGAACTGTCAAATTGTAGTGTTTTGTTGATCTGTATTTTGTCAATGTAGGAGCGAGGTAAGTAGCTTTTTTTGCACAAGGGAAGTGTGCGCAGGCTTGGGTGCCCTGAAGGAAGTCAGACTGAACAAGCGCCCCGATGCTGTGTGGTGTCGTTTGCCTTAGAACAAGTTGCCTCAGTTGGACGCGACGTGTGCTAACTCTAACTGACCTCACGAGTTGATTATTTGAGTCCAGAGGATTGTAGTGACATTGTATATGTTGCCGTATTTTATGCGAATTGGCAGTTTGCCATGAACCCAACCCATAATTAAGATGGGAGTTGCCGTAAATGCCCAGACACTGTTTGTTATTTCCCAAGCCGTAGAGATCCTGACCCCTGGCAGTGTGGGGTGTCATGGTGCATTTTTGACGTCGCGTTACATGTGCAGTCCCAACTTCATGTTGGTGGTATCAAGTTATCTAGTTTAACCTGTAAAAGCTTGCAATCATTGGTTGGTGTGTTTCCTCGAGGTCAACTATTGCTGTAAAGCACCCCATGCCCTAGTCTTTCTGTCGAACGTCAGAACTGTCCGTTTGAACTGTTTCCTTGAAATGGAGTTGTCGGACCCACTGCAGGATTATTCATGTCTCCTTGCTGATTGGCGATTACCCCTCATTTCGTTCTTCCTCGTTGTCTCTCAGCTATCGCAGTGCCTCTGCAAAGGTTCTTCCGGCTCATGATGGCAGCTAGTATACCATACGCCTAAGCTTACCACAGAAGTTAGTTAATACGTCACCCCGAGATATAGCTTTACGATAAAACCAATTTGTACCAGGTAGTGCAACTGGGCTAGGACGACTACCTCCGCACTTTCTCTGTTATTTTTAATTTCTCAAACTAACCTGCCAAATCGCACAGGAGTGATTCGGATGCTTCGGGTGGTGGATTATGTGAAGCTGAAGTCATTATTAGTTATTAACCGTTTTTTTAACTGTTGGCGGACAGCCTATATTAAATTGCAAGTTGAAATCAAAAACAGATCGTTATGCACGCTCATTATTTGCCTTTTCTTTAAGCTGTGGACTACCCCAACCAACAGGTTTGGAATATCATGATCAAAGTGAGACGTGGTTGTGTGTGAACTGAACAGTGCAAATGATATGCCTACCACGAGTTTCAATCAAAGTAATCCGAGATATAGCTTTACGATAAAACCAATTTCTGCTGTGTAATACGACTGGACTGAGACAACCTCTTCCGCATTGTCCGAGCTAATATTGTGCCTTTTTTATTTTTAGCATCGTGAAATGGCCAACGTATTTGGAGCAGGCCAGAACGCCTCATCGATGTCGTCGCCTACCACTAGCGCTTCGGTTAGCTCTCGGATTGTTGAGGAGGCTTTGCAAGCAACAACGCCAAACGGGGGTTGCCGTGACTGTCAGAATGATCGATATGTGCACTTTCTGATGCAGGAACTGCAATGTCAGCAGTTCCAAGGAAACCCTGGCCATGGAGATGGTGAGGAAGAGATGGGTGGTTTTGAGCAGGTGATGCTATCAGACAATCTGGCGCTTGATGCAACTGTCTATTCACATCGGGCTGACGAGGATAATTCTTGTGGGGAGGCTGGTTTCAGTGCGGCCCACTCACAGGTGAGCTTGCTTGCGTCATTCTGTTGGGGTTGGTGAGCGCTCTCTTGTCTAAAGCCGAGAAGCTCTGAACACAAATCCGTCAAACCCACACTTGCGATGGTTACGTGACTGGGTGTTCGATCTCTTTCCCAAATAGTCTCGACACTTGCGTATTTCCGTGCAACAGGGCTGTGCCTGTCATTTTACCGTTTTGAGTCAGTGGTTAATAAGCTGGGCTAAACTGATCAACAACCGTGAAGCAGAATAAATAAAAGATGCCCACATGGTAATGTCATTGCAGTTGAAATGTTGCTTGCTTTTTTTCAGTTCTCTTTTTCATTCCGATTCCTGTTTATCAACGCCTCTCGCCTCTTTCAGAGCTCAGTTGATGAAACGCCCAGTTCATTTACCGTAAGTACTGCCCACTGTGGCGAAGAAGACGAAGACGACGAGGAGGATGAGGATGTGCCTGACGAGTGCATCAGTAGTGAACCATATACCACTGTGAATCCATCTTCAGTAAAAAGTGCGATCTCCGAAGTCAGCGATGAGGATCCTGGTAAGAAGCCATGGGGGCGGTCCTCGTTCTGTCGCCTCGAACCAATAGCTTCGCTTTTCCACAACCCACTTGAGGCCACAGTTACGATCCCTGGGGTGGAACAAGAGGAGGAGGAGGAGGAGGAAAAACCGCCTGCGGTCCCTTCGCGTCCCCCTTCGGTCTGTGAGGTTGTAACCGCTTAACTGACTTCAACTCCAATCATCTCTTTGTACAAAATCGTATTCAGTTACTCTGTGATATCTGGTATCCATACGTGAGTTTGTTTTCCAGTTGTTTTAATCCAGCCCTAGCGCCATGATCTCTGTTTCTCTTCGCATAATTAGCGGTCTGAGCAGTTCATTATTCAATGTCTTCTTTTCACTTAACTTTACCTTCTTGTCCTGGACACCGCGCTGAACCTGAAGTCCAATCATGCCAGTAAACCCATCGGTCTCACTAACACACAACTTCTTTTACTAAAACCCACACGCTTGATGTTTTCAAGCCGGTAATAAGCAATCACGTTATCTTCAACATTGTCTTTACTTTTATTTTCTTTGGGATGTAGTTCAGCTAAGTGGCAGGTAGATAGGTTGATGGTTTATATTAGACCTGTAGTTTTACAAAACGCCTGATTTGCTGTTTCCGATTGTTTTGATTCATCAGACGGCTGTTGGTGTGTACGCTAATCCCGTCACGTGTTGATGTTCTCAGATGACTCATGTATAAGTGAAATCACCGACATGTCGGGATGTGTTTGCTAATGACGCTTGGAACCGCTTCGAAGGTCTGCTAATGTTTCCTTTCCACGACTTGCTATCAACCTGGTGGCCAATTGTCATCGTCGGACTATTTAGACGACCGCCTGTCGCTCGGCGACGTTCTCGTGCTAGGGCACATGAAGGTAGATTAACCAAAATCACGTAGCAGAAATTGCAACAAACCAAAGATGAGGATTTTGTGCGACTTTGTGGCTACTGCGACAAGGTTCGCATTCTGACGTTTTGTTTCAGCGTATGTAGGTGGAAATAGGCAATTCGTGGTAGTTGTCTGTGGCGTAGGAGTTAGGTAGACTGGATTTAAATTGCAAATTTTGATTTAGCCTAGTTCAGTTGTTTAGGAAGATCATTGTCAATGTGAAAAGTAACTTTGTTCGAGGAAATTTAATCTCAGCCAAGAATTGCTTTTCGTTTGGCATTCGTTCCTCCTACATATAGCATGACTAGACAGGCATCCACAAAGACCTTGTGTCTTTCTAACTGCTACATAATTACACAATGATGCTTGGTTGAAACATGCGTCTACAACGTGGCCACATCAATGTCTCCCATTACTTTAATCAACACAAACATTGACCCTGTATTCTTGGCTATCCAAAGTAATGGTATTTTATTTCAGGCTAATAGTTTCCCGTAAATTAAATTTGATCAACTTACGTGATGAGTTAATTGCGGGCCTCGCTAAAATTGCTGCCGATTCTCAATGCCTAAGGAGTTCTTTGACTTGTGGCAACTCGATTAATATGCTCAAGTGGAATATGGCTAGTGCCAGTACAAGCAAGACACCGGGATGCACACGACGGATAATGGAGGAAGCTAACCGCTAAGCTAGTGGGTCATGATTCGACGTGAGTTTGAATTCTTACCAAATACTGCTGCAGCAGACCTAGTTGCACACAAGGAATCCTTAGATAGATGCAGTAATCTAGGACAGATGGAAGAATTATAACATAGGAATTCACATGAATTGTGCTGTCACAAGAGTGTTGAAAACGTTTAGGCTGCGTGGTATGAAGTGCTAGGGTTCGTGTCTCCTGCCTGTTGTCACATAGTTTGCCACAACTCTGCGCTTACTCATACCGCCAGAAAATATTTGGACATTAATGTCAGAAAGAAAATGTGTGGTTTGAACGTGTTGAATGGATGTGATATACCAGTCAACGTTGCACAATACCTTAACTGTCAAATCGTGCAGGAGTGTTTTAAGAGCTTAAATCACAGTTAATTGCTGATAGGTCTTATTGATAGATGGAGGTAAACCATCCAAAACAAACATCTGTCGTCAAGTGTTGGGTGCCACCCAAAAATTTCCTTAACAATCTCGTAAGCTAAGGGACATTCTTGTCCTGTAAACTGATCTACATGGTAATAAAACGCACGTACTAGAGCAATATAGCAAGGCTTAAAATTATTCGGTTTTAATGGTCTGCAAGAGGTGATTTTTAGTATTTGAATTAAAAGCTTAAACTGCAATTGACCGAATGTGTTTGCATACCACATTTAACCACAGGTTAAATCATAATCGATTAGACCAAAGCATCAGCGGCGTAGGGTTTGTAAAGGGTAATTAACCCAAATCATCAAAAGGAAAATCATTTAGATCGGGGATAGTCCTTCTCCTGTTATGGGAGCATCAGCCATTATGAGGAACTGGTTTTCAGCCAAAGGGTATAAAATAAAAAAAATATATTTAATATTCCATTAAGAAACAAATAAAGTTTTATTTTTCTAGATATCTGCCTGACAAACATATTGCTATCTGTTAAACTGTGTGCCTGATGATTTAGGTATTCGAATTTGTTGAGCTTAAGTTAGTCACCTCTCTGTGAACGGCCATGAGATGGTGTCATTAGGGACTGGTGAATAACCACCTGTTTACGTGCGCACAAATTATCAGTCTGTTTTCCAATAAAAGCTACTTCACTAATCTTGTCATTTAGAAACAAGGAACTAGTCATGCGCCTCAAAATACACTATTTAAAAAAATCTAACTTGTCTTATTGACCACAGATACGACGTCATCAAAAGCCTTATTTTTGATTGATGGCGCAAGAACCATATTTTCATTGCTAGAAAAGCATATCAAGTTAAACATGCAAAAACATGTGTGATACTCCTGGTGTCAATTCCCTAATCGCAATGCAGTAAGCAGGCCGTAACCATTCTTTTGTAGATCACCCCATCGACATTTGTTTAGCAATTAATTCTGAATCAGCCTAAGCACCTTTCTTCCGTTGGAAAATCTCCTTTTTGGTTGAAGCGAAAACTAGGATTCGGTGGTGTTTAAGCCAATCATATCCGATTCACTAACTTCCGGCAATTTAGGAAGCAATTCGCTTTTTTGGAAATCTCATTTACTGACACGAAGGGCACACAATGACCTTTGGAGGTTCGCAATAAAAATTAACTCAAATCACAGTGGGTCCGTATCTTAACTATATGGCATATTGAGGTGGAACAATAGGCAAGATCCACAGCACAAGCGCTTTATTTGCCTATTTAGTAAAGGTGCTAGGTGCATGTCTGAGTCTGAATACGGACAGCGATCAGCAGCGTTCGTCTTCAAATCTCCGACTTCCTCTTCTGGAAGTCATGAATTTCATATACAGGGCTTAGACTTCATACACACCCTAGTTGTGTATTCTGGTTTTGGCTTGCTTTGAAGGAAGGCCCTAAATTCATTACCATTCTTGTTTTGATCCCAAAAGTAAAGCGCATCAGAAAACACGTAAAAAAGCCAAATAAATATGTAGGTAGATGTCGACGTCTATGTCCACACGCATCTGATTATTCACTAACTCAGAGGATAAACTGCAAGCCTGTGAGATTGAATATTCCTGTCATCTAGTTTGTGGAAAAACTAAGACTAATTAGACTATTGCTATCATACCTTTAAGAATAACCGCAAAACTCACGCAGCATTAAATCGAAACTGACAAATCTTCATTCCGTTCTGGGTTTTCGTAAATAATGGGCATAAGCTTTTCCTTAAAAACAGACATGTTTAGTTAAGCCACGTGATCAGTTACCTGAAAAACGGCTTAAAGCATGCAGATTTAATTTGATTTATTTTCTCGACCGAAATTTTGAATATTTATTTCAGAATCAACAACCCTACCTAATATATTTTTAGGTCCGTTTTTGCTACACTTTTCATTCACTGAGTTTGTATTTAGTGGTATAAAATTTAATGAAAGCAAATTTGATGCGATCATGAAAGAGTTAATTATTTTGTTAAAATTTTAAAAGACTTCATCCTTTAAATGATATTTGTTATTACCTCATTGTTTTTTTAATTTAAAAGGCAATGCAATAACTGCAAAGAATTTCAGTTGTTTGTAGTGTTCTCAGGTGACATTTTAATTTGTGAAATTGTTTAACCGGGACTTCACATTTGTGCGGTTCTTATCGTTTAGGCGTGAGCGATGGTGAGTTGTGTCTGTCATCTAATATTGTTGTTACTTTAGTCTAAAAGTAAACCAAAGAAGACAAGGAAGCTTAGAGGACATGTTAGCCATGGTATGGGCCGTGTTGGGAAGCACAGGAAGCACCCTGGTGGACGAGGCAACGCTGGAGGTGAACACCACCATCGTATAAACTTTGACAAATACCATCCTGGGTACTTTGGCAAGATTGGTATGCCTCATTACCATTTGAAACGGAACCCTTACTATTGCCCAACAATTAATTTGGACAAATTGTGGTCCCTTGTTTCGGACGCAACGTATGAGAAATATAAGAAATCCACTGATGGCAAGGCTCCAGTCATTGACTGCGTACGAAAGGTTTGTTCTTGTTTCTCGTCTTGTAACTGCGTCTAGGGCTATTTTAAAGTTCTCGGGAAAGGTGTTCTGCCTAAGATTCCTGTTATAGTAAAGGCCCGATTCTTCTCAAGGCGAGCAGAAGAAAGGATTAAGGCAGTCGGTGGTGCTTGTGTTCTCACTGCATGAAAAAATATATAGTTGATCTTTGGCTATTTGTTTTTCTGACCGGTGTCGGCTGTTAAAGGTATATTGAAGGATCATTCGCTTTGACTATCATGGGATAGAACCATCTGTCGACAAGCAAATCTGTGCTGTTGTATTGTGGTAGTGGAGATAGTTTGTGGATTGAGACCCTCATCGGATTTGTAGGACATACAATGACACATATTCGACTTTTTTGAGTGTTTAGTTGTTGTGGTTGAATCCTGCACAATAATGTTTCGGGATAAATTTGTCGATAGACTTGTCTGGCGATGCGCGCAGAGCCTCGTCTCTTTTTTTTGTGGCTTTCTTGATTATGTTGTTAGGAAGCAATCACCCATTGAGTTTTTGTACGTTAGTTGCTAGACTGCGTTAGGCGACGTGGGAAGCCCCAGCGTACAAATTTAATTAGCGGCTTCGATGTGTTTGTGCCATTTACCACTTCTTGGATTTTCGCCCCTCCTGCCCCAGGCCAGTTGCGTCAATGTTCCACTGAGCCCGGCGGTGGAAGTGCGTCGCAAACCATAATTCGCCTGGTTCTATACAGGCATAACTTATCGATATTAGCCAGGGTCCCCATTCTGTTCCTGTCGCGTTGAAATCCTCTAGTTTTCAACTAAATGTAAACAGGTCCCCGATTAGCCCCTTCAGTTACAGCAGAAAGAAACTGCGAAAATCCTGAGTCCATTAAATGCTAGTGGACTAGCATCCAGTTGTTCCACTCAATTGCAAAGTCAATGGGTGGCAGCATTCAATTTCTTTTTCATACAATGCAAGTGTCTTTCTGGTGAGTTCCTTGAATCCTTTACACCCTTAACTTTTTTCTAATGAGAGGAATCAGATGCAAGTGCTGAAAATAGTTCTATTAGACAATAGGATTAATGTATGAAAGGCCCCGGTGTGACTTCCATGCATGAGGTTGGGTTTTCGATGAGTGGTTTAACGAACACTCCGATGCTAGATGGCGCACGTGGTACCTCAGTGCAACTCCTAGAAAGTGCCTCTATGGGCCGATAGAAGCCTTAAGACCTATTCTTCAAAACATTGTTCAGTTATGTACATTTGTTTTGCAGTTAGCGAGCTTGTAATGGTTTAACTTGGTGCTTTTAAAAATCGTAAAGTTTACAAATGCACGACGTGAAAAGATGTCTGGTGTAAGCTTTGTTTATTTAGCCCTAATAGGAAGCGAAGTAGCCCCTTATTCCATTCTAATATGGCCTGCGAAATCCAAATTCATTATGTTTGGCAATCGCGATGTATTAGGTGAGAATTGATGCTTTATTACTACCCGGAATACTTTTGCATCAACTAAAGGTATGCCCACTTTGCTGTTTTAAACAGGAAATGGTCAACAGAGAAATCCTCTTTTGTTGTAGTTTCGAGTGGACGCTTTTGAAGTGAATTAGGCAAATTTAAGGCAAAAGTACGGTTACACCTGTGATGTCGGACCAGTTCTTGCATACGGTGGCATTTAGGGCAGCATTTGCCCGGAAAACTGCCACTTTTCCTTTAGTTTATGCTCAAATGAACTTACGAGACAAGAATTAAGTTCACTAGTCAGCAGGATGCCCTGAGAATGTTGTACATCAACTGAAAACATTAGCACTAATCTGCGAATGCAACCCGTTTTGGTTAGAGTACCTCCACGATGTGATCGGCATAATGGGCAACAGTGTATACATCACTAACGGAATAACCACCCTCGAAATAAAATGTTCACAGAGCATTTATTGTGGTGTTATGAGGATGATCTGAGCGGGAAGGAGTGTATTTTGCAAGCGCGTATATTTTATAGCACATCGCAACATCAAATAATAGCCCAGATTCTAAAAATAAAGGTTACTTAAAAAAAAGCAATTTGTTTTAAAGCCTCGTGTTTTATTCTGTCTTAGTGAATTGATTTCCATTTGTCTGCGAATATACACATGAACGTGTCCGATGAAACATGCTTATTGGATGACCGTTTAATGGCGTCAGGCCTTTTGGATGTTATCATAAGCAATTGACTCAATAGAATTGCAAATTTACTCCCCATTCGTCACATGACTAAGCTGTGGCCCCTTTAAAGGGATTGATTTTCGACTCGTGTTTGTCGCGCCGTTCGTGCGCAACTTTTCAAAATGGGGGCTTCACTTTCTGTAGGCAAAAATAGGAACGCTTTGCAAGGCCCCCGTTTGCACAAAAAATATGATTTGAAGCCCCTTAGCCTGGGTCGTGGGAAAAAAAATTCAGAGGACTCCAAAAACGACAGCCGGAGCTTAGATCTACAAAATACCAAAGAATCCGATAGCTCGGAAAATAAATCTGACTCTAGAAAGTCCAACTTGTTGCCATTGGATCCGCGGTTTGAGGCCAGCTTCGCAGAAACACCTCGTTATGAGTTGATGGGAATTCAAACTTCCAGCCGAAGAGCATTGTTCAAACGTCCTGGTTCTACTAGCACAGTGACCATGGACTTAAGTAAAAGGACTGACAGATTCGCATATCGCAGATCAAGAAAAGACAGTGCCATTCAATGCGCAATTCTTCCTTCAGGTGCAAGACGGGATATGCTTTGTAAATTCATTCAAGCTGGTGTTGGTCACGCATTTATGCGCGATAATGAAAGCAACACCATCAAGCCGATATTTCCATGTAGTACACAAGCCAAGTTTACAGAAGCGAGTTCCTGTATAAACAGCTATAATCTACATTCGGTGCATAGGCAAGCGTTCGGTGACCAAATGTGTCCAGTGAAGTGCACTGATAATTCTACAGGCCAAAAAGAGACAGTCGCAGAAAATGAGGAAATTCAAGGTGAACTGACAGAGTCGGCACAAAGGACAAGTTGGAAGGCCTCATCAAAAGTAAACATTATTACGAATAATTATGGTGAGAAACTATATGGATATGGGAACATTTTACCGACTGATGAGTACCCTAGCAAACCACAACATTGCTGCCACTTCACGGAGTTTCAGTCCGACTGCCACATGTTCGACCTGGCGTGTAGTGGATGCCAAAACGCATGGGCAAGTTTAAACCGAAACGGTGGCGTTAGACAGCCCGTTTTCTCTAACAAAAATAGAAAAGTGTCTTCACCATCTGGCAAGTTCGACCTATCCCGCTCGCGTTCAGATTCCAACCTCTATAGTAAGGACTGGAAACAGAGCAATGCAGTGGGGGCCCCAAAAGTTATCTCTCGTTCGCCAACATCGGGCAATTTAGGAGGGAAGAAGTTTGTGAGGAATCAAAGAAGTCAAAAAGACCGATTAAACTCGGGTCGAAATAAGCCAAACCAGCAGTCGAGGGCGCAGCTTGAGAACAAATTTCGATTCTACGTTCGGGAAAGCGACGAAATAAACAAAATGCTAGGCGACCCCGATGATCGCCGTATAAGAACCATATGCGAGCGCTTCCAGTGTGACTTAGATATCTACGCGAAGAATTTAATTGCTGGATTTATGCAATACACAGTGGACATTGAAGCACCGAATGCCACTTGCCTGCTGGGTTGTGTGAGGAACCTTGACTCGGCCCTGGGCTGGCACATCGCCCCACAATTGATGGGATGTGGCATCCAAAAGAAGGACTGAACGGAAAGCATCTTATCATGCAGTAAAGCACAAAGTTAACTTTTTTGCGCATTTTAAAATAGGCCATAGAGGCGTGACGTAGATGTGAGTTCGTCACATAGAGCAAATGTGCAAATACCACAACACTTTTGCTTGCACATGTGTGTATTCGTGGGTCTGAAGAGCCCCCATATAAATTACGAGGCCTATTACCAAAAGGACGGATGTTTCATGCCAAAAATAGTAAAATTTATACCTTTTAATTGTCGTCGTTTCTCGCTTGAACGGCTAGCTAGTGAGTGATTCTACTGCCAACTAATGAATTAAATTAGAACACTCGGGATTGGTAATGCGTATCACTTTTCGGTCTCTGCATATTGACTTTCTGGAAGGAGACCATATTGTTATGGCATAGTAGCTATAATAACAATAATCAAAACTACAATTTAGATGCATTGGCGTAAAAGTACAGTTGATCAATGCGAAAAATGAAAACAACAATAAAATCAGCTGCAGAAAAGAAGCCTTGATGTTGGAAAAAAGGACGACTAATTGTCAGGTTGAGATATTTCTAGGAGTCACTTATAAAAAGAGTAAATAGTGGTAAAAAACGTCGAAATTTTTGTGAAAGTCAAAGTAATCAAATCCTGGATGTAGATTAAGTATACACAAAAACAGAAAACACGAACACTAGTTTAAAATGGAGGATATTTCACAGCGATTAGAACGACTTTAGAACGCCTTGAAATCACCCAAGCTTTGGTAACTATTAGTACCCTAATTTTTTCAACGTTAGGAAGGGATAATGTGAGTAGAAGGAAGGAATCACTCTCCCAATATCGATATAAGTAATGGACGAAGATGGCTGCTTGGAACTCTTATAAAGGAGGTCCCAAGTAAGAATAAGCAATCACTTTCAATGTTTTAGCACCCTTTCCAGATGATTTTAATAAGAAGTTAAAAACTAACAAAGTCCACAAGACGATCTAGGACGAATTACACTCATCGACCGAGTTATAGGTAATAAAATGAGCAACATCCAAGGAATGTGTGTCAAAACAGCAGCTTCGTGATTCGATGCGGAATTTAAGTGATCGGCCTTAGTGAATTAATAGATTCAGGAACCTGATACATCTACTACAACACCAATCCACGCTTCGAAACGAATGGAACTTGAAGCTATCACAAGAGCCAACTAGGCACGTTAACACCTGGACAGCGGCCAGCACGCATACATTTATGCGCAACACAATCGACCAACGCGAAGAAAAACCAAGACTGGAATACGAGCACGAAGCAGAATTTTTTAGTGCCACCACAAAATTGTCCCTTATAATTAACGGTCACAACTGTCAGCAAATTTAGTATACGTATGCACAGCCCCTCATACAAAATCCCACGCAATCAAGGACCCCCGGCAGCAAAACCAAAGCGCTCCAACAGGTATCTGATGCCCTTAATACATGTATTATGCATTATCGAAGCAAGATAATTAAATGACATTAGGGTCTAACAATGTGAGAATGCGAACTCCACGCGCGTATATGTTAAAATGCTAGTCCGATGGCAGTCACTGAGGTTGTGTCACGTAAGGAAGAGCATAATTGTCCAATATTCCGAGCAGGCTAATACCGAGGACCTGCAAAACAGAGAAGGCGTTTCTGAAAACATTAATCAGACTTCCAAGGAAGGCGAAAAGCCATCACAGCATTCCTCAGTGGAAACCGCGAATGGAAAAGGAAGTTTCATCAAACCTACCCTTGACGGTAACATCTGCACTACACGCGGATGCAAAATTCACTGACGCCACCACAAGTTGAATACACTAAGGCCTAAAACACAAGCGAAGGACTTATTAATATCATGAGTCAGACTTCCAAGGAAGGCAAGAAGCCATCACGGGACTCCTCAGTGGAAACCGCGAATGGAAAAAGAACTTTCATCACGCCTACCTCTTTTGGCCAACACAACGCCGCATGTTGAGTACAATAAGATCTAAAACACAAACGGATTGTTAATTAATGCCAAGAGGTCAGACTTCCAAGGAAGGCAAAAAGCCATCATGGGACTCCTCAGTGGAAACCGCGAATGGAAAAAGAACTTTCATCAGACTTGCCTCTAAGCGCCGAACAAAAAGGACATTGAAACAAAAACCCAACACGTGCCAGACGCCATGGGTCAAAACGCACGTCACGAACACAATTAAAGATTCCTTTATAACTCGCTTAAACAAAAGTGATTTAAATAAGAACGTTAGTAAAGAGCGTTATATAGTGTAAAATATGCATGAAAGTTTGCTTTAAACAAAATAAAAATATTATACTGCAAAAAAATCACGTTTAAATAAAGCTAAAATGTTAATGACTTTATATTTTTAGAAATTGGGCACTGAGAGCCTAAACATGTATAAGCAGCATTCTAATCGACCACAGCGTTTTCTGGTCATGAAAAAGATTGTGCAATCCCAAAATTCACCTAGGTCCTTACGCTGTTTCCGAAGGGAATAAATAAGACTATTGCAAATTAATTCTAGGTCTTCTTTACTTAGGCACCAAAAGCCTTAACTTTGCAAAACGTGCTTAACTTTAATGATATGTATACTACTCACGGTTTCACACTGAGAGAATTATAGTGAACAGAATGATTTTGAAATATTCATTGCCACGTCGAAATGACCTGACGTTCGAAAGAAAATAAGTCGAATAATATATGCCGCTATATAGAACTAGCGATTCCCGTCTAGGCTCTAGTGGTGAGCATGGCCGCAAAGTGCCCTTAACTTTTACTTTTAGCAAATGTTTTTCGTGCATTGACTCAAAAATTTGTCACTCCAATAATATTCACTGAATGCTAGGTTTTTGAACGTTCGTAATAGGTTTTCTTTTGTTCTGGACTATTTTGGAAAGAGCCAGCATGTTGATCGAAGTAAAGGATACACCTTAAACTTAGTTACTAACAACACAGGTTTTATTCCCTCGTATTTAGTGAATCGAGTCAAAGCAAATTGTATTTAAGAGGAAAACCAACAATTGCTTGAGTTCTAAATGGATATGAATCGTCGCATCGAACTCATCATGTGGAGCAATTAAGGATTTTTACCAGGTTGTATTGCGGTGGCATTGAAAGTTTAACAGGTGGATTTTTTAATGATTTCACAAAAATTCAACCATAAATTGCTTAATGGCCGTGTCAGGAAGATCAGCGCCCAAACGCAGAAAACTACTATTCACAAATCTATATCACAACGGAAAGCGCTACCAGAAGTAAAAAAAACTCCTGGATACTGCGCGCCGGAGAGTTCTACCTAACTGTACGTCAAATGACTTTCTAGAGCGTCTTCACCATTCGATGTTTTGAACATTCTGTAATTTGTTCCTGTTCCCTGGTAGAAATTCCGGTTAACAGACTCCTACTAACATAATACCTAAATACTTCCTTTGATGAACACAGCTAAATGTAACAAAAATGCTCACTGAGGTTTATTCGACGCAAATTAACCAGCTGACGCTGTTACTTCCACACTAATTATCATGGATACAACCGCATTATCTAAAACACAGAAGGATAAGTGCCCAGGAGTTTGTGAGTACCCTTCGACCTCCCCAATACATATGTGATTGACTTAATCATTAGTATTGAATTAATTTCGTCATCGGTAAGTGCTTCGTCTATAGACTCCCATCCACATCAACTTAATTTCAAACTGAACATAAACCCCAACCCCCAAAGGTGATATTTCCGCCTTGTTGAATAGAGAAACGAGTCCTAAATTAGTGCCATTGCCGATAAGCGTAGATTGACCCATGTTGGATTCAAAGAATCGTCGGTAGATGTCACTGGAACATACACTTCTAATACATTGCATACACATAAGTTCACTATAACTCCATGTTATAAGATTCAAATCAAAGGGTAAAACAGTGAGTGTTGAATGTTCTACCGTTTGATCAAAAAGGAAGGATCAGGCCAATGCTTTATACACTTTTAGGGAATAAAGGTAACTTTAAAAAAAATCCAAAATCCCAAAGTACCTATGCTAGTGACTAGCAATGGACCTTATTGTACATAAATGCAGAAAAAAGGCATTTATAAATAAATCGAAAGGCGCGAAAACATACACTTCACAAGATCAAGAAATGGTACAACACCTGGTATTAAACATTAAAAGTCAATTAATAGAAAAGGGGATATCACAGCCGACGAAGGTGAGAAACATCGATTCCTAGTTAACAGGCCTAACAGGTTTTGAGGTTTTTTGAAGCGCTTCAAGAATAGTCTCTTCAGGAAGGGTGGAAGTGACAACAAGGGAGTTATTTTCCACATCTATGTGCACTGAAAGCACAGCGTCTCCGAGCTTCGCAAGCACCCTCTTAGCAGCATTCGCACAACCCTCACACGACATTTCCATTTCGAAATTGTAGGTCTGGATATGAAAAAACCTATCATGGGCACATTATTTGGGTCAGTGCTTAGAATCATATAATTAAATAAAGTCGGATGATTAACGCAATCAAAAAGGTACAAATTTGCTCAAATTTCCGGCCAGAGGAATAAAACTGCATGGAGTTGTGTCATTAAAGTCGTAACTAATGACTTCTGACAACAGCAATCAAGACAATATGGCAAACTTCAAATGCCATTAACATAAGACTAAGGGTCGCAAAATAAAGTTACTAGAATGAAATGGAGAGAAAATGAATATTGAACAGTGAAACGTAAAAAAACGATAATGGTGTATGCCACTAACTGCATTACGAGCCTGAGGCTACTTTTCCCACGGGCTCTGAACAAAGAAGGAAGAAGTGCGAAGCAAGCACAAAGCCATACCTTAGGAGAGGACATCGTGTACAGCGTTGCAGTTGGTTTGTAGTGTTGCGTTTTAGTGTTGCCACGTCCGAGGGCTGACGCGGAGTGGTGTGACGTCGTAATAGGGTGCAGACATGTTGGACCACCTGGCCGCAGCCAATCCTGTGTCTCTCTGTGTTCCAATGGCATGCGAGGATGACAGGCGGCCAATCAGAGAAGGACACGAATGAGCTGCAGTATATAATGAGCCTCGTGGCCAGCGTGGCGTATTCGGATGGAAGGCGCCTGACGTGTGGCTCTGGCTTGTGATTGGTCAATAAAACCTGCACTGGTGCACCAGTCTTTTTCCAATTAGGGCTCAAGTATTCTGTAGTGCTGTGGAGCGACGTTTTATGGCGCGGACGAACTGGACCACGCTGGCCTCAGTCAATTCTCTGTCTGTCTGCGTTCCAATGGCATGAGAGAAAGATATGCAGCCAACCAGGTACATACAAGCATAAGAAGTTGTATATAATGAGCGACTCGGTTAGCGGGCTGGAATCGGATGTACCTCGTCTGAGGCATAGTTTTGGCTTGTGTTTAATCAACAAAACCTTATCTGTTGTACATGCATTGTTCACATTTGGGCTCGGGTGTTCTATAAATAATGTTGCAACTTCTAATGGCGCAGACATATTGGATAGCTCTAGCCTTAGTTCAAGTAGCATGCATGGAAGACAAGCAACTAACAAAAGACATATATATATATATATAAGTAGCGATATATAATGGGCGGCGCAGCCAGCATAGTAGACTCAGATTGACGACTCCCTGAAAAATTCCCAAGCCCTAGTATGAAGAACTCTAGTACAACATAAAAGGTTTTCAGTGACCTAACACAAGCAAAAACTGCATGTCAGGTACGGTCTATCCTAGCCAACCATGCTAGCCACACCGCTCATTATATGCTACTCCTCATTCGTGTCTGTATTTGGTTGGCTGCATATCTTCCTCCCATTCCATTGGAAGGCATAGAAACATAGGATTTGCTGAGAACAGCAAGGTCCAATATGTCTGCGGTTTTATACGTTACTACAGCCTGACGTTTGTTTCTGGGTTGTGATTGGTTAATAATGCCTGTTTTGTTACACTAGTCTTCTTCATGCCAGAGCTCGGACATTCTATAGTAATGCCAAAAGCCGATTTAGGTGCAGATGTTTTGAATCTCCACGAGCTTGTTCAAGCACCTTCTAGGCGCTTAAGGAGCATTAACTGAAGATTAACGGCCAAAAGTACACAACTCTGAATGGATGGCACTGTATAATGAGGCATGCTGCCATCATCGCAAACTTGAATAATCGATGCTTGAAGTACAATTATGGTTTGTGAATGGTCAATAAAGCTTGATCTGTTGTAAGTCTTCTTCATTCTGCGTTTGTGCATTCGACATTGTGCGGCACGAGGGCGTAGGCATGTTGAATCACATCGAGTTTAGCCAGTCCTCTGGTTGTGTTTGTTGGAACCACATAGAATGAAGGTCACAAGCGCGCCAGAGACATGTATTGTGATGTACTAGAGCAAAGATACATTAAACCACACCAAGCTTAGCCAATGCCCTGTCCTAGTGGATTTGAATTTACTGCGTGAAAGAGATGCAGCCAACCGAAGACAAGGACAGATGGGGAGCTGTATAAAATAGGCGACCGAGCCAGCGTGGTGGACTCGGATGGATGGCACCTAACGTACTTTTCTGGGTATTGCTTGGCCAGTAAATCCTGTTGTTAGAGCAGTCCTTTTTCGAACTAGGGCCCGGTTATTCCACACAAGAATGGATGAGAAGCACTGTTTTGTGAACAAGATTAGACAACGCCTAAGAAATAGTTCTGGATTGTGGTATATCAATGAGTCCTGCATTATTGGACCATCTTTTTTCAATTATGGCTTAAGTATTCTATAATCACGGGTAGTAGCATTTGCGAATCACGTTATTTTAATACTGTAATTAGATTAAATGGGAATTCAAGCTAAGGAAGCGAACTTGACAGGACGCATCATTTACATTTACAAGATCCCGCCCAACACTATACAAGTTTGAGTCAACAGAAAAGTGGCACATTATTTACCAGGTGAATCAGGAGAATATAGAAGTTCATTTTGTCCGATTAGCTGAAAAACATATTGGACGACGAAAATACCGAAGTGCCATACCAAATCGACTCAAGTCGCAACTTCGAATACAATCATGTTAAGGCTGCTTTTAAACCAGCATATAAAACGTGAGCCCTTTCTAGCATTCGGTCTTAGTTATCGAGACGCCTACCTTGGTGTGAGAAGAATGCGTTCTTCAAAAACAAATACTTATGTAATGTCAAAGGCCATAAGAAAACATTGAATCTGAAAGACAATTGCTTGAAGGGTTTCCTAGTTTACAATGGATTAAAGACCAATTGGTAGAAAGTCAGACACGAAGAAGAGTAGTAGCTTGGCTAATACTACCTTACAACCCTCTAGTTAACAGCCCGTTACAACCCGAGAAGAGGGAAGAAGGAGGCGACACAGAACACGACCTTCTATCAGTGTCACACCAGCCAAGTGGCTCTGTGTGCGTAACAGGCGACCGCTACCAGGATCCAATAACGGAAGCAGTGCGTAATTGGTATAGTCGAGTCGGCATACACGCATCACTCACGCGAGGAGGCTCTCTGTCCACAACATTACCCCCTGTACCGTTGGAGACCAGAGAGCACAAATCTTAGAACTAGGATAATGATGAAAAAAATCCCATAGCGACAACTACATTCGTGTTAAATACATAACCCTTTGTCCAGAATTTACTAACTATATCAAAAGTTGTTTTATTGAAAATAACAACATACGAAGCGGAAAAAATTGTCTGAGCTACGCAGATACCTTGGATACGGCCTTCCGAATTCCACAAATATTTGGAAATAAAAGTCCACCTAAAAGTACCATTCGTTTGAGAACCGTTTGGTCAACATGCACATGTAGAGCTGGATCATTCAGAAGGTTGGCGACTTCTTGTATTAAGAGCTTAAAATGCAAAAATGAAGACTGTTTAATCCCAATACGTGAAGGTTGAGTCAATGGCCGATTCCAGTAACATAGAGATACCGAAAGTGAAAAATTCACAGAGAAATGACGACAGCGCCGATCGATATAATCAGCACTTCTAGAGCACAAATTTTCTCTATGCAAAAAATCCAGATTGCCGTCTACGTGCTTCCACCACACCAACAGGTGGTTAATCGGAGCATTTTCATAAAGATCTGTCGTATTAGGATAATGTTAGATTGAACATGCCACTTAATATCGCGGGGACTTGGCATCGTCAGTGAAAACAAACGGATAAGACACGGTGGCAGGAAAGTCGACTTACACTTGAAGTGGGGTGGGGTGCGCAGGTGATGGAAGCCGACACGAGGCACCTTACTGCGTCCTTCTGGGCAGCAAGTTTGGCCTTCTCTTTCAGACCAACGGTGCCGGAATAAAGCCGAAGTGTGGCTGCAAGCAGACTCCAAACAGGTTCCATATCGGGCCGCAAGAATACCCAGGTTTTGCTAATGGCCATAAGACACTTGGCCTCGTGTTTATTAGGTGAGCTGCGGAACTAAAAATGGGCAATAGTGTCAGCGTATTTCAGCTCCAAACATCCAAAATGCATGCAATCAGAGTTTTTTAAAGGATGGTGCCCTCTAAAACTGGTAAAACATCTCGTCGGCAAACAGAGCACGCTTTGACAAGAAATTTCAGTGGTATAAGTAAGGCCCGCATGAATGAAGGGTCTTTATCGGAGGTTGATATTTCCAAATGGACGCACAATTTCAATTAGTCCGGAGTTTATCCATAACTAGCACAGAAAACACATTATTCGCATTATTGCTGCTGTTTGATAGGTTTTACAAACTCACTGCTTTTGGGAGACTGTCTGATTGTACGGCATTATTGAAGTCAATGACACACATTTAGGGTCGTTCTTTCATTGAAAAAAAAAACATTGAAATAGCGGCCAAAACGATAAAAGATATGCTAAAGAAACAACGACAATAAAGACATCTCGAACTGCCAACACAGTAGCAGAGCTGAACCTCGGTTTTTGAGCAAAGGAGGTCAACCGTGAGAATCCATACATGACCAGAAATGGCAGCATCGAGGACTGCAATAGTTAGATGCTACGATTCAAGTTACTTGCAAAATCACGAGTGGAGTGAAGTTTGTGGGTACTTGAAGTTAGGCTTAGCGAAAAACGTAAAACATCGACTTTACGAGGAAGTAAGCTCATAGTGGCTGGAGGAGTAAATACCACGTAACTTAAACTTCGGTCAGTGCAGACTTGTGATGAAAGTAGCATGGAAGGTTTGATGGTAAATGCGACTCGATAAAAAAAACACCGAGCAATTTGAGTCAAGACTCTGGCCGAATCTTTGCAGACGACTCAGTTTCAAGTTCCATAAATTGATTACATGGTCTGATTCCATCTTACTAGTAAAAAAAGGGTGGTATTAATGGAACACAGGTCGACGTATTTGTTCATTGATAGGGAATCAATGGCAACGGCGTTGGAAACCCAGAAAATATCTTTTTTTATATGTGTTGTTGCAGCTGCAGCGTTGATTGTTTATTGTTTTAGTGTAACACATACTAAGATCATTAGTACTATTACTAAGCGACGAACTAAATCTTCAAAATATTTTCTACGACCTTGAGGTAGTCGCAAAACAAACTTGCAGGCTACGAAGTAATTAATTCCTCAACGACGACGACGAATTTTGGCACATCGTCCACAGCGTCTTGAACTGCGTATCCACTAGGGCAGATGGGACGAAGTCTGGTGAATATGCCGCATGTAAGAGAGCGTCCCATCTCAAGTTCAATAAGATCGTCTGAGTCGCGAAAAGCCATGCGAGGTCGAGCGTTGTCATGCAACAGCAGCAGTAGTAGTATGACTTGCCTGCTTCCTTGCCCAGTAAATGAAATTTTTTGATCAAGTTGTTCTCGCATTTTGTTCAATTGTCGGCTACAGCATTGCGCAGTTGCCGTCTTACGACCTGCTTCCAGCTCGTAATCAGGCACACCCTTCATGTCCTACCAGATACACAGGAGAACCTTCTTCAAGTGGATGTCCTCTTTCGACGTCAGTGTACTACTAGGTTGCCTGGGTTCTACTCACCACGCTTCACGTTTGGGATTCTCGTACAATTATACTTTTCCTCAGCCGTCACAGTTTTCCACAAGCAGTCCTGTTTGTTGCTGACGAGCAAGCAGTGAAAGGCGTGCGTGCATGCGTTGACCTAGGTTGCATTTGGAATACACATGTTGAGAGGACCCAACTTCCACGTTTTTGAGATCTTCCTGCTTGGTGCAAACGCTGTTTGGGTGAATTCACACTGAGCTAAAAGCTTTTATCGCGTTTCCGCTGGGTTTTCATTCAGTAGAACTTGCAACAGCGTATCTTCAAACTTTCTAGGTTACTCTCCGGGGTGCGGCTGGTAATTAAGATTGAAATCACCACTTCAGAAACGTTTGTAAGAATAATTAGAGACACAACGTCGACACCAAGAACACTGCAAACTGATTGCCTTGATTTGAAAGCAATTTTGCCTTGTTCGAATTTGCACAATATGCGGTGCGATCGAATGTGCTGCTTATCAGTTGCCATCGTTAACTCAGCTATTTTGAGGGGTTATGTAACTCACGTGGACTTGTCGTTCGGTGTTCTGAAACCTTGCGTATGATTCTTTCAAAACCACAAAAGCTCAAAGAAAAAATCCGGATAAATCTAACTATACACTTAAAAAATATATGTATTCTTATCAGTCATGGGACACACCTGACTGGTAAGAAATTCGTACGCGTAGGATGGCTCAGCGATGATGGCGTCTAGGAGATGAACGACAGAGAGCATGGCGCTAGGTTGCAGACATTGAGTAAGGAAATAACGTCTAAACGGGTTCACGCTGGGCGCACTCAGCCCCCTGCAGACGTCGTCCACGACCTCTGGGGGCGGTGGAACCTTGGCGAAATGAACGAAAGCCGGGGCCAGGCACCAGAGCGAATCGCGCAGCACCTCGCCACCCGTGGCGCTGTAGACATCCAGAAAGGCTGAGAAGGAATGCAGGGCTCATGGTCAAATGCCGATGGATAGTTTTTGTTTAAAAAGGCACCAGAAGCACACAAAACCCAGCGGACCACACGCTTCCAAACAAAGATGTTAAGCATGGGAGCTTCAGAGGACGTGACTTGCCAAAGGGCTTACATGTTCACTTTACACGACGCGTTAATACATAATTAACTTTGGCTTTCGTAACAGGGAGCTAAGCAAGCTGTCGCCCTGATTGGATGAAGGTATCCTGAATGCTGACGAAAAGTAAGGATGAATAATTGTTGTGAAAGGGTCTACTGAAAAGTGTGACTGATCACACTGTGGCAGAAGACTCGACGGAGTCCAAGGCTCATAAAATTTCGTCTGCTGAAGGACCACGCAAAGCCTTAGGTGCTGAAAATACTAACAAATCTAGAGGCTTTGAAATCTATAAGCTGAACTGGAATGAAAAATTACCATGTGTTAACACACACCAGATATGCTACTGCTGGTTCCACCGATTCATGAAACACTACCTTGTAAAGATATGGGATGGGTAAATTCAGACGAACCTTGCATCGCCTCGCCAGTTTGGCCCTTGGAAAGGTGAAAAACAGCAAGAGCAGCATGGACACTGCAGCTACGGGGGAGGGAGGTGTCTTCACTTAGTGCCTGCAGCTCGTCACACAGAGAGAACTCTGGTTTCCCGCTAAAAGCGACAGAACAGCGAATACTTTAGCTAGGAGGGTGGGTGGAATGTGCGGTGAGGCGCAAGCAATCAACCACTTGGACGTACCGGTGGCACGTTGAAAGAAAGTAGTGCGCCTTCACGGTTAGACAATCGCACGCCCTTGCCGAGCACTCCGAAAGAAGATCGTTGGCGCTGTTGACGGGAACGTGGAGTGAAGTTAGAGACACGAACAGACCGCAAATGGGCAACTTTATGACAGTGCACCACGAAAACACTGCTATTGTAAAAGCTGATTAAATTGAAATGAAGGTGGTGCTGGTCGGATCGATGTCATGGGCTCATAGGCGAATTTTAAATACCTTTTTAACGAAATCGTGGTATTAAGACCATGACATGACATAATAGACTGGTAATTGCATAGAAGTGTCAAAATTGTCAATAAAACACACACCTGAATGGCTGTGGTAAGTTCCAAACCTGTAATACTAATCATGGCGAAATCCTTTGTTGACAAGTTAGACAGTAACAGAAAGAGAACCATTGTGGGCGAAATTTCTAACGAGATTAAACAACGGATCTCACATATTCCCAAACGTATAAGCAAACGATGCAAGGAGACAAAGAAAGGGGCTCAAATAAAATGGTAATTTTGGTTTACGGTGCCTCACAGTCGGTGTTGAGGCTTCAGTTATCGCATCGGCCACGTCTACGATAATAACGATGATAAAGGGTTAAGCAAAATGCCAAAAACAAACAATGCTTATAATTTGCTTGGATAATGGATTTTACATAAAACAGAGGCAATTAAAGTGGACAGAAACTACTGAATAAAGTAGTTGCCGAGCGCTTGTGGCACCCTGTTGTGAAGTCCAACATACACGACGGAAAACGTTTACGGAGCAATAAAGTTTGGTGCAAAACAACGTACCGCTTAAAGCAATAATAGGCCGGGTGAAAAAGATCGGACAAATGAAGCAGCAGGCCTCGATCGTGCCACTGACGGAAGTCGTTCGGGTAGAAGGCTAGACCAAAGAGAGAGCCAAACACATCATGACACGAGGGTGGTTGTCCAGAAGACATCAGTCGATGAAAAAGGGGGACAGGATTAAGCGAAATTCAGAGTAAGAACCAGAAAATCGACTCCAAAGGACCTTAGGATTATGCAGGACAACGCAAGGGATGCATTAAGATATTCTTTGTCGCTGTGTGTCATGCGAATTGACTGCCCGAAGCTTTAAAAGTTGGACACAAAGCCAATCACAGTTTTATTTTCAAAAAGAAATGGAAATTTCATAAGCTAAACATACTTGAGGACATTGGATGCAACCAATGAATAATAAACTACGGAAAACATTTACCAATACCAATTTTGTGACTCCTTAAACCCCAAATAAGCAATATTAATAAAAACTGTTCCTTACAGATATCCACTCTAGTTCTTTCGAATTCCACAAGCCCCTCGTGAATGTTGGAAGTTGTGGTTACTTGACATACCTGCCTCGTAATCCTCTCAAGGCCCAAGTTCCGTGCGCCAGATGGGTTATAACGACGGGATCTTGGTTGAAGAGCAGGTGTCACGCAAAAAACTTACAATTTGGTTAATCTCAAACTAGAAAGGCTAGGGCTAGCAATAGCTAAATTGTTTGTATTCTTAACTGGTAGATCAACACATAGGAATCGCGGCGAGTGATATAAGCCAACGACACTCTGCAAAGGGATTTTGTAAGCCAATAAAAAAAGAACGCAACTCAAGGCCTGGCAAAAACTGATTGTCTGACATACCCAAGCCTCGATTAAGATATTCCGCGGAAACCAGCCGCGATAACTTCACAGTCTCCGCATCATAATCGGTGATTACAGCAGAAAGAGTTGACTTGAGAAGACGGAATACTTTTGGGAGAATTCGCCAAACCGCGTCTACCTAGGCCGACGACGAAAGACATGAATGCAAAAAAATCAAAACCCTAACTGACTAGGAAGGTTTCAAGTACTTTAGATGATCCATTCAGGAATATTAATGCATATTTGGTGACCTCAAGTTAGGTAATAAAGAACGGACACGCTTTAAAGCATTAAAAAATGTCACCGAATCAACAACTTAGGTAACGGGTTTTAAATGGGATGGCGAAAAATTTGAGACAGGTTTTTTAAGATCTTAAGCAGTTGGTGGGCAACAAAGACCATGTGCATAAATAGGGAATGGTGGTGGTTGCATTAACTCTGATGAGATATTGGGAATTGGTCGAAATTGCAAAGATTACACAATACACCCACATTGAATCCATAGCACGAAGCCTGCAGTAGACACTGAAGTTCATTCGGTTCCTCTAGAGTAGAGTTGACGGTTTTGGAGGGAAAGAGAGCAGTCAGCTGGGCCATGACGAGCCAGTAACCGTCGTTTTCTGAGTCCACATTACGACACATGTCCAAAACACGGCGTGCATCCTGAAACAAAAGGATGAATGTGATAAAAAAAGGTCTTGATTTCGCCAAGTGGCGGTCTAAGCACACACAATACACCACTAACAGCAAATTTATATGAAATTGACATCTGCTCTATCACGTCAAAGGGAGGAGCAACGAGTGATGGGCTTCGCATGGCTTAATGAACGTGGTCTAATGAAGAATCTCTGTAGGTGTTCAACTTACCAAATCGATATGATGTGTCGACAATAAAACCCATTCACGACCGTCAAACGCTGCCTAGCCTGTTAAACGCTCTACATTTTACGTCAATCTGCCCAGTAGGAGACGTTCCGTTAAGCAGCAAGAAACTCACGTCAGGGAGCTGGAGTCCGAGTAGCTTCGACGCGAGCGCGACACCGGCGCTTAGTAACTAAAAAAACGAGGCACTTGATAGAAATTAAACAGAAAATCACTAGGATTGCTGGAGACCGGGCATCATAAGAGGTATCGCAAGACCAAATAGATTTATAAGCAGTTCGTAAGGGGCCGAGTGCTGTACGGTGACTGGAGGGCAAACGGGTAAGAGTGGATGGCAGTTAAAAAAATTGTTTAAAGCGCAAGGTTTGGCGCTTAGTGTTGAATTTGAAGACAATTGACATTAAGAGGTCAAAGAAACTAAACAAAAAAATTGAATCTATATTTAATAACTTGCTTTATTGCAAATTGTGAATGCCATTCCAAAACAGTGGGCAGATTGTTTTCTGAGTAGTTCTAAAAAAAGAACAAAAAATAGTGGATTTTCGGAGGAAATAAGTTCATCAACTGACCATGGAATTGCTGTAGAAGTGAGGGAAGTATAAAGTACGAATCCCACAAGAAGTGATTCAAAGAGGAAATTCTGCTACAATGTGAAACATTTACGACAGACAAGTTGGAATAACTGTGCTACAATTTAACACAAATAAGAAAAAAGTTCACGGTATCTACGAAGCGCGATAAGACGGCTTAACAATGGTAAATCACATTTTGCGGCGTTTATTGTTTAAGTTAAACATGAACTACACTACAATTTCCTCAGAACGTGTGTCATGTTGACGCTCCTACATAAATCGGCTGTTTGATTTCAACAGAAATGTAAAAAATAACATAGAATGAGTGGTGGTAAATGTACCTCTACCAAAAGCATACACAGAACCCAAACCGAACCACGCCAGAGCAGGCAAGTGCCCGTCTTCAGTTGTGGAATTTCCCTTGATTTGAAGGGCCTGCAGGAAGCAGGTCTCAGATTGCAGCAAGAGGCACTGGCTGGCCTTGAAGAGTCGATGGTGTACATCGAAGAGCGGTTTGGCTGTTGCAATTGAATCAGCCCCACCGGTTTGGGTGTGAACGGCTCGGGAGAGATTTAGCAGACCCAGGCATACCCACGAGAGGAAAGTTTCACGTTTCATTTTGGCCCCACAAGAAGACTTGAGGAACATGGACAACATTCTGAAATGTTTAGACGATAAGGTAATAACTGATTCCATTGATAAGTTTCATCTCACCTTGCCTTGGGTATATTATCCGCCCAAGTAATAAAGCAATTCTAAATAAGACAGCTCATTGGTTCGGAAGAAGAAATAAAATTTGACTGATGAATAAGTTACATACCTATCCCTAACGCCCCAATGCTGCCTGGAAATTGGGAATACGCAGCTACATTATCAAAATAATGAGCAGATATGCCTTAAAAAAGATATGCGTATAAGTGAAAAAACACGCGAAACCAATTATCGGCCGGCCAAGGCAATTCTATAAGTCCTCTAAAACCTACGAAGACAACACACACACACACACTCTAAATTCCATTACAATATGAGTATGACCTCCCACAAACAATTTAACCGCGTAACCACTTGATTAATACGGTTAAAAGCTGGCAACACAAAAAAGAACATACAGCCCCGAAAGATCAACACAAGTTGATAAGTCCAGAAGACACGCAGGTTCCTCCGGCCCAGACACCGGATCCTTTTTCAGAAGGTCTACAAAGACCCTTGGAACACGAAGACTGTAAGAAAAAAAAACAATCAAAAGAAATAGCAAAGCGTATTCAAAGACTACCCAATAGACAGAGACGAATAGCTTACACCAGTGTGGGATCATGGAATACCAGGAGAAGGCTCAGTGCATAACCAAGGTAATACCAAAGCCAATGGGGAACGGGAAATTGAGTTTCCATTATTATTCTTAAAGGAAAAAAAGGCGGTGTACAGAATTCAATGTGATTGCAAACCAATAGGCGGGAATTGTAAACTTCGCAAACAGTGAATTTACCTAGATCCGTAAGAAAGAGCCGATTCAATGAAGCCTATGGCCGTTGTCCGCATGCCCTGTTTCAAATCCTGCAGAGCAAGACCCACGTTTATTTCAAGCAGCCCTGTAATTGAAAGTTATTAAGTCGTCAACACATCAAACGCCGATGCTAAATACAATGCAGCAGTAACAGCAGCAGCTAACCTTTGCATGCTAGGAGTGCCAACGATCGGTTTGGTTGGCTTTTGAGGAGTTCCAAAGCATGGTTGTAGGAGGACGAGGCGGACGAGTAGTCGGAGAGAGCGGTGCAGGCCTGGGCGTACCTGAGTAGATTAGAAATTGGACCTTCAGACTAGGTTAAACAGAGCCACAGCTGGATAAGGTGGAGGGCGGGGGTGACTTACAATATACGGGACATTGGACGGTTGGGGCCAAGCTAAAGCAAACCCGAAATGTAGAGGTAGACGTGGCCACGAGCTTAACCCGGCTTTAAATTAAAAAAACAACCTTACTTGAATTGACTTCTCCAGTGATTGCAAAGCTGTTCCGAAGCTTCCACGTAACATGTAGGCTTCACCAAGGACCTCCCAAAGCAACCTACAGGCATGCAAAAGTTGGCAGAAGTGATTTCAAACGATTAAGATGCTTTAATCACTATGGAGACACGCAAAAGCCTCACGGATTCGTTGGATGAGCCCTTAAAGCCTTTTGTAGAGCCGGGACACATTCGTTTAGCTTCTTTAAGCGAAGGCAGATCAGACCGTAGTTTAGCCACATTGGTGGAGAGTATAACCTAAGGTTTAGGAGGTGTAAAATGTAATGATTTTATCAACAGAAAACTAAGTTCAAATCGCGCGAGGTGTCTACCTTTGGTTACACTCCGAGTAGATCCCGTAAGCCTCGGTCTGAAAATAAGAAACCATAGACTGTAACGACAACTGTTATTAATCAGGCAACCAAGAAATAGTCTACTAATGAATGATAAATTCCCTCAGATTGACATCAATTAAGTAAGTACTGACATGTTATCAGCCAAAATAAGAGGAAACAGTAAAACCTTCCAGTGAGTTTGGTAAGTGGCGCAAAAATGTTTTATCAAACATCGTAGATAAGGGAAAAGCCTATTTACATTTTAGAGCATATTTGCATTTGGATTCAGGTCGCCAATGGGTACTTTCCACTGCTCATCAAAATGACCCAAGCTCTACTCCAGACCACAAACTATAACATTCAATTTTGTAAAAGGAAAACTGAATCGACGGAGAAGGCAAAGGGAGTCGTATTCAAGTGAAAATCTAATGGTAGCAAATAGTTGGGTTTTAAAAGAAAAAAAAACTTACGATTTTGTCCAGTTTACACAGGTTAGAGGCCAGGGAATGGGCGGTTTCCGGATGACCTGGGACGAGTTGCCACGACTTTTTGTAGGCTTTGAGTGCTCGACTAAAATATTGCAAAGGCTAGATTGCGATACTTTCCACAAAGCAGTGCTTCGAGCTGTTGACATTAGAGACGAAGAAGAGGGAGGAACTACACAGCAAGGTTTTTGTTGTCAACTCACAAAAAGTCCAGCTTTCTCAGTCGAAAAACATGACCGATGTTGAGGTAGTTGGGGAAGTAACGCTTGTCGCATTTGATACCGTGGTTAAAGTGGTGGAGCGCAGCATCCGATGCTGTTGACGCCAGTTTCGACAACAACCAGCCAGCCAAGTAGTGGTTGTGCGATGAAAATCCCGCATCCTCGATGAAGCTGCTCAGGCTCAATATGCCTAAATTGGTGCGAAAACAGGAATTGAAAAGGAAACCATTAATTACCGTGATATTTAAGAAAACTGAACACTGAGGGATTGATAAAATTAGAGTTAAAAGTTCCTTGGATTTTTGAAACAGCAGTGAAGGCCAATTTTCGCAATCTTAAATTTAGGGGTAGAGGTATAATGGGCAAACATGAAACCCAATATGTGCGCAGTAAGACAATAGATGGGACGACTACTGAGCTAGGCAGGATCTACCCCCAAAGGCATGACATTCCTTGTGTTAGCAATTACCTTGAAGGCAGGCGGTTTTGTCTCCACTTCGGCTTTGCAGGGAGAGCCAGATCTTCACCAGTTCGGTTCTCAAGGCCACTTCGGTGGAGAAATCGGCGGCCAGAGCAGTTGATAATGAGGAACAATCAACACAACTTTGCGGGCTCGTCGGATTCTCTGAGAGGAGACAACACTGCGTAAAAAGTACCGCTTGCGGCGAAGGCCAATTCAACTGCTTCTCCTTGTCCTGAAACAACCAAAAAGTAATTACCAAAATATGCTTCCGGAAATTACATTCGGCTTAATTTTGTGACTAACAAGCAGATTCTTTGAGTAGATGTCAATGGCCTGGAGAGCCAGGTGTTTGAAGGTTGATTTCGCGGCGTTACTCAACAACAAGCAACCGGCCCAATCGCAAACACGATGGAGAGGAGTTTCACCTTGAGGCAACGAATCACCGAATAGACGAACAGGCGTATACAAAAGTCGCGGCGTAAGGAAATCTGTAAGAGAACTCGGAGGAGATTCTGGCAGACTGGTGTAGTGGGTCATGTCCTTGGCCACTTGAGCATAACTTGAGTTACAAAAGCTTATTACTGAAAACGAAGAAAGGTAATGAAAAGTAATATCAGATTAAAATGACATTTACTTATAAATCGAAAAAGACAGTTCTGAAAAATCAGCACTGTAAGGTAAAACATCCCAATACACGCACTTTTTCTCAATAGTAAAGGTTGGAATAAACTTACGCTCTTGTAGGATGAAGTTGCACAAGTTAAAGTCATTCAAGGTGTGAGCAATAATGGCCCCGAGCGCCGATACTAAAAATGGTCAAATTATTAGCAAAATAAAGGTATAAAAACAGCCAGAAGCATGAATAGACGCAAGGCTACTTAGTTAGTAAACACTCTATGCTGCTGATGATAAAGTTACTTAAGGAGGAAAAGAGGATATTAAAAAATCGTGATCTACCATTGCTTAGAACCTAGCGTCATGCGTAGCTTATGACGTGATCGATAACTGAGCACTACTCAAACAGTCACGTCAATATTATAGCAAATGTTGGCTTACTGTGAACATCCAGGAAGCCTTGCCGTTGCCAATTATCCGCAAGTTTTAGTCCACATACGGGAAGTTTCAGGAGACGTTGAAAGGCGCGCTGTAAGTCGTCAAAAAGTCCCTCCTTTAAGGCTCGACAAGTTTCCAGAAACGATTCAGCGAGATTCAATGTAAAGTGGGCTGTATCACTTCCAGAATCAACACACTCACGCAATCTATCAGTGTAGGTTTTTAGTAGAACGAGATCACTTTGTTCAATGCATAATCCAGTGAAACTGACGGTAAAACTATGGGGGGTTTTGTCGGTTTCGGTGGACAGAGAAACTGAAGAAAGCAAAGATAAAACAATGAATGTGGACGACTGACGAGCGCGCAGTTTTGTTCTTCCACAAATTAAAAAAAGATGAACGTGTAAAATCATGAAGGTATTTCTGATAGACAATAAAAAACACAAATTAAAACCACAAAGTAGCCTCAAGTATTATCGCAAAATGTGATGTAGATTTCAACACAGGATCTACAATCTAAGAAGATCAAAGACCAAAATAAACCTGAGTCTAGTATATATCTCAGATGTTTTAATTTTCCTGTTCAAACGCTTCGAAAAACCAATGAGCAGGGCAAATAAAAGGGGGACTTACATAGAGATGTTTCAACAAGAAGCCGAATACTTGCTTCGAGAGCAAAGGGGTTGCTGTTGTCTGAGGCGAGAGTAAGATTGCAAAGGTCTTTTAACGAGGGCAAGCCACGATGCAACTAAAAGGCATCATTATAAACATGAATAAATCATGCAACCGTAGTCTAATATTCATATTTTTGTGAAATAATGTGAAACAAAGTAGTGCGCATTACCCCATTTCACACTAGGCAAATTGTCACCAGCAGGGCCCAGAAAAGCGAGATAACTTATCGGACTTCTAATTACAATCTGTCACAAGGAGCATAGGGATTGTTTCCGTATTGTAAGTTAATTTTTTACGGATCATAAATATTTCAAAACTCTTACTTCAAGTCGGTAGAGAACAAGCAGGCGAATGAAATTTGTGATGCATTCTAGGCGCTTCTTAGCATTTCCTTCACTTCAAACATAGATGACTTAAAGATCCATTTTACCTTGAATAGTATGGGAAAAGAACTACAAAACACGGAACGGCGAGAGCATAAAAGCGATTCGGATTCTTCATGCAGAATTGAAAAAGGCCCTATAAAAAAGGAAAAACCGATAACAGATGTAAAAGTGGGGGCGCGGGGAGTAAATCGATTAACAAATGTCTTACATGCCAGGCAAGGTGATTTTTACAATCAAGTTTAAGAACCTGATGCACAGTGTCAATAGCCTTATCTTCTTTGCCAAGCTGGTCGTAACAGGCAGAGGCAAGCAGGAGGTAGTTAACATGCTTTTCATTTATGTCATCATCAAGAACCGGCTAAATGAATAAAAAAAATTACAGCAGATTTGGGCAAATGTGATTCTTCATAATGGGCGATATCAAAGACATCAATCGGTTTACAAACTAAGCCATGTGCGTACATGAGCAAAAGTAACAATATTGATAGGTGCATACTTAAAACATAAAAAAATAGAAATGTATAAAATTAGGCTAACGGAAAGCTCAAAATGAGAAAACATTGAAAAAAAAAACCTCAAGTTCTGCTAGACAAGCTTCGAATGACTTCTGCTGAAACAATGCCTTCGCTTTTTTCAGTATCTCTTTAGAAATTACACCCATTTTAATAAAAGGCACACCAAAATTAACAACCCGCACATTTTCCCTTCTGATTACTCAACATTACTAAATTACATGTACCGCTCCTCATAACGATACTGCATTTTTCCATTACAATCTACTTTTTTGAGATTAATTACCCATAGAATCCCAAAAAAATTCACTAGTAAACGATATGTTCCCTTGAATTACAGTAACTACCATAACTTCAAAATGATTGTGTCAAAATAATCGTGAGTTCTACCGAATACATATCAGTAATAGGCTTTTTGTCAAACGTATCTTAAAAATTACAATGAAAATGCAGAGGATTGTTAGGATTTACTTGAAAGTTTGGATTTTAGAATTTCAAATTTTACAGAAGTATGCAGACGCAATTGAAAAGTGAGTACCCCGAAAAGCTGTCACGATATGTCAACTTCGCGTAATCTCTCAAAAACTGACAAACTACACACTGTCTAGAAAACTACGTCGGTTTTGCCATTAACGATCCTTTACGAAAACTCAAGAGGTTAGTATTTGATACGCAAATATCAAAACAAATAAAGTAGAGCAAAAATTGATTTAATCGTAAGTTTATTTGCAAATTAACCAGGAAGGATATGTTACGGATTACAACAACACATATGTTTTGTCAACGTGACTATGATTACAGATCTGGTTACTGGCTACTTGACAAATCATAATTCTGAAGTTAAATTTTGTCGTTTCAATTTGACATTCCCATTGTTAGGTTTCATTATTAATGTCATTACATTCAGTTTCATATTTTGATTGAGATCAGGCAGTTCATCTCTGGCAATTTTTTATAGTCAGGGAACAAAAAAATGTTGCCATCAATGATGTCACAGTAGAATTTTTGTGCAGGAAGATAGCATCCATTTTTTCATTACAGGATGCAGACAATCAACCGCTAGCATAAACTTGCGCAATGCGATTTCCCAGCAACGTATTCGTAAGGTCCTGTGCGTCGGTCTTTCAATCCAGCCAGGTCGCAGCTAGCCCTATCTCACAAGCGACAGAAGGATTATTACGCTAAACTGTGTCTTTGTCATGGAAGGTGACTTAGAGTTAATGGCTACGACGAATGTAGCGAGCAAAGGCAGTAAATTATATCATTCGTGGGAAGGTTGTATGGTTGACGCGGTCCTTAGTGAAGCGACGTGTGCAATTCGCAGTCCAGACGATAGTCCAGGTCAAGGGTTCCCTGTTCACTTTAACAAGCTAAAGCCTTATATTTCGTCGATGGATGAAGCTGATGACGGGTCCCTAATGTACTCTGAACCACCCCCAGTAGTCTACATGGTCAGGATTGCAGCAGTTGTATTAGACGAGAAGCTGGGATCAGCTTCGGTCTTAAGAGGGGCACAGTGTATCGGAAAGGCAGACAGCCGCCAACTTGGTGCTCAGTCATTAATCGAGGGTTGTCACCACGGCACTGTGAAATGTCATGTGATCGGAAGAAAAAACACGCGGGCTTTGAATGATCCGCCGGAAGCCAAGACCCGATTCCCTTAGCGGTTTCCTGTTTCCATTTCAGCAATGCGGAACAAAACAACCGGAGAACAAGATAAGGATATATAGAGACCCTGTTTCCCCCCATAAGACCGATTAGACTGTGGCTGTTTCTGTTTCAATCAAGTGTCCGTTTTGTCTCAGCATTGTTTTTATCATGGGCCCGAAACCTGCAGTAGTGTAGCGATGGATCGGGGTGCAGTCATATTGGACCACCTGGCTTCAGCCAATCCTGTGTCACTCGGCGTTCCAATTTCATGCGAGGAACATAAGCAGACAACCAGAGTAGGACACGAATGAGGTGCAGCATATATTGAGCGGCGTGGCCGGCGTGGTGAACTCGGATGGACGACGCCTGACTTGTGGTTGTGGTTTGTGTTTGGTCAATAAAGTCTGTTCTATTGTTCCAGTCTTCTTCATACTTGGGATCGGGTATTTTTCATTTTTCATCGGCAGATGCGTTCGAATAACGCAAATCGAACCCCAGCCCTTTGCCGAAAATGATAAACAGAGGCAAAGACCCTTAAATGCCAGCTGAAGTTGTCGTGGCGGTCATCCGATGTCTCAAACACTGGATCAATAGACATTGCCGGGGATTAGAACCACTGCATCTGAAGAGACATTACCAGCTTAGTGACGACGACATAAACGGTATATGCCAGCTGGACTGCAAGTGCAAAGGAATCTACGGTGAATGAAGCGGCCTTCCTGCAAGTCTACAAGAGCAAAGTCCCTCGTCAACTGTTTGCATGGGCCACTATCCTGCCAGATGTGGGGTGCGGGGAGGGTCAAACTATATATTTTACCAGTCACGAACAGTGCAAGGTACCAAGCCAGAAGCTGAGAACAGCTTCACTGCTGAGGAGGGGGGCGTGTGGCAACGGTAAAGATGCAAACATATTGGACACAGGCCTCAGCCGATATTCTGTCTCTCTGTGTTCTAATGGCATGCGAGGAAGATAAGCAGCCAACCAGAGAAGGTCACGAATGGAGTGCAGTATAAAGTAAGCGACATAGCCGGCGCCTGACTTGTGGTTCTGGTCTGTGATTGGTCAATACAGCCTGTTCTGTTGTACCAGTCTTCTTCCTATTAGAGCTCGGGTATTCAACAGTAGTGACGAATAAGTGGGCAGACATATTGAAGTGATACGTTTTCCTGTCCACAGGTTTGTTAAAAGTCACTAATGCTTAATTTTTGTTGGTGCGAACTTAGGCAGTAGAAGTAGCTTACATAACTATTTGAAGACCTGAAGCATCTTTTTACCGCAGTTCAGGAAGTAAACGAAAAAAACGTGCCAAGATGTACATTGATTTAAATTGCACATGGAAATGTGAAATTGCTAGATCATACATCCAAGTTACTTGCAACTTGAGTTATCGCAAAACTCTTCATCGGTCACTTTACAAGCTTTTTTCACATGCAACTGACGATATTACACAGTTAGGTACACGAGAGATTGTCATAAATTATAAATGGTTGATCGATTTATCATTTGTTCAAGAAAAACGTACAACGTCTCATGCCTATTCATTCCATTTCGTAGACTGGATTCACACAATCAACTAAGCTGCTTGAGAGCTAAACAAAGACACCTAACTCTAAAAATTACGATCCAAATATATCAAACAAGTCATTTGGGAGTGGATGATATATGTATTAATCAAAATTATTACTTACTTAAATTCACAAGTGCAGCAATTATTCAGTCTTTACGGCTTAAATGTGTTGAAATAATAAGTTATGAGGTGTCGTTGCTATAACTTTTATGCAAATTATGTTATCCGATAAATAAAGTTGTACGATTGGCTAAGTGATTTTATAGTGTGCGGATGTAGGTCACCTCGGAATTCGATCATACGTTCAGTCCATCTCTTATTTGTCCTATGCAAAATAGAATGATCTTAGAATGAAGATTACAGGTACAACACTTTTTGCTTTTTTGATATTCTACAAGGTAAAATCGACAGTCCGTCACTGTCCATCCGAGTGAGTCATACTGGTCACAAATTTGTGCTCCAATTAAATGCATCCAAATATTTTTTAATACACCATTAAATTATAAACAGTGTAATTCGACATTTTGAAATCAAACATTTATGCTGAACAATTTTCAGCGCATGCGTTCATGACTAAAAGAAAAAATGCTTTCCAAAGTAAACCTGTGGCTAAACCTTTATGGCCAAATGCATAACGAAAAAAATTTAGTTTGAATTGAAATCAAATTCACTGATCTTTTCTAACTATTGGTGGTGTGATCTTGTGTAACGGCAAATATCTGATGAAGAGGAATATTTAATTATGTAGCGAGAATACATGAGACATTTTATAAAGAAAGCTAGCACAAGATTATAGGTGGTTTTTACCTACTACAAGCACGAAATCTTCTGTCAGAAGCCGTCTGTCCGAGTCAATTTCACCGTCCGCACATCTAATTTAATAATGCTTCTCATCCGTCCTTGTTTCTGGTTGGCTGCCGATCCTCTGCATGGACCATTTAAGCGCACGAAGGCGAACTTTTGGCCGAGGTTGGCGTAATTCGATGTCTATGCCCTAGCGCGCCGCCACTGCAGTTTTGGAGGTATTTTTTGTATCGATTGGCCTATTATTTAGTTTTGAAGAACCTTTCTTTTAATTACTAAGTTAGTACTACGCTTAGAACTTTTGAAAATTTGTTACTGAATACAATCTTTTGTGGTTGTGTAGAATTGAGTTACTTTATTTCAAGATTTGCTAACGAATGCCGAAATTATGGATATAATGAAGCGTTTTCCAAGCTGCTCTTTTTCGAATTTTTTTTGGGCAGTCATGTGTTCACTTTTGTTTTTCGTATTTCTGCTTCCTCTGTCAAGTATCTTAACTTTTCCGATAAATGTCGCGCTTTTAATGTCTGCAATTACTCCTATCTTTCCAATTGACTCTGTACGCTCTGGATGTTTTATTTGGGGATGTCGATTTTGGCATTTGTATTCCACGTCAACATATCCTTAATGTTGTATTTAATGGAAATTTGCCACAGGACAGTCCACGGCAGGTCTAAAGTCTGTACTCTTTTTGAGTCTTCTCTGATTGTTAATATTTTTTTAATTCAGTGTATCTTCACGATTAGTTTCTAATCACTAGAGTCTTCAACTGTACGTGTGTAGTCGCTGCATAATCTGTTACTACGTAGCATATTGCGCGTACGTCTGCGACTGCGCCCTCTAATTACGTTTTATTAGTGGTATATTATGTTGCACGGGAATTTTGTCGAAAAATCTATATTTACCTGCCGAAATTAGCCGGAGGTAATAATTAGCATGTACCTCACGATTTTGAGACTTATATCACTGGTGCTTCTGCACCTCTATATATAATTTTGCGTTAACGCTTTTAATTAAATCCATGACTGCGGCAGCTTGGAGCAATCGATATTAAAATGCAGAAACCTCACTACCCTAGCTTTGGTCCCCATAAATTACACGTTGGGACTCCAAGTACATCAACTATGGAACTGTTTGTGCTGTTTTCTCTGTCTGTTTTTGGTGTACACGTGAACCGAATAATTAGTAAATACCCTATCAGCATTCTCGTTAATCGGATTGATAAGCCGCTTAAAATTTACACGTTAAATCTGAGGTCAGTTGTTGGTAAACAGAGATGTAGCTTAGGCAGTGGAACCTTGAAGATTTCAGCCGTAGCACCTATTGTGATCAGTCTAGTCATTTTGAAAGAGAGGTTCTTCGTCTTCTAGTTGACTTGATGTGCATACTGTAGTAGATTTTGTTGGTAAACTAAAGTTCTTAGCTGCCAGATCGTAAGTCAGTTTGGTCATTGAGCTGTGAAGCAATATTCAGACTGTGTGGGTCGTTTTCCCATCCTATAGTCGTCCGTAATCCAGGTTCGGAAATTGTGTGTGGATGACTTGCAACTTAGACTAATTGTATCCAGACTAGCCTAACAAACTTGGTGCTAGACATCAATTGATGACGTGGCTGTATTTGGTTGAAAAAATGGGAATTTGGTTGAAACTCAGGCCACAAGCGGGGGTCAGGTTCTGCTATTTGCGTTATAGGGTTCCACCATTTTGGAATGCTGCATTGAGTGCTGGCTATCAAGTTCATTACAGAATCTTTCATCAAACAATTAATCATGTTCATTATGGTATTCAGCAAACCAAAATATTATGTTAGTGGATTCAACACAGATGACCGATTTGTCTAACAAATCATGGATCCGCTGTGCCAGATCGTTTAAGTTGCAACGGCGTTTATTAAAAGTTTTCTAGCGACGGTCGCCACCATAATATTATTAATATTGCTATCAATTCCATTTAATTTACCAAACATGTCCATACTAGTTACCTGTGTCACAGGATCAAATCAAAATGTCATATTCAAGTATCTGGTTCTTATAACCGTAATGAAGCCATATTTTACTAGGTTGTATCTCTGTGGTAGCATATTTGTTTTATTCTTGTTGTAGGCAAAAAGGCCAATCTGTCGAACCTCTAGATTGCTTGATTTGATCGGTGATCGGTTTCTGTGATTACTCACTGCCGCACTTCTCAGTTTGTCCCTCTTGAATCTTTTCTCGCGACCGAACGCTATTTTAATGTCTTCCTCATTTGTATAAACTGATCTATACCTCGAATCACCACCTTTTGATTTGCTTGGAATGAATGCTCAGTAAATTAGCTTCCTGCTTCGACCAATACCAACTCCCTGCACCGGTACATCTGACTGTCAGCTACAATATCCGCTTGCCATCGTCAAAAGATGAAGTCTGTTGATAAACGGCTCATTCTAAAGATAGTTTTGCTAACATCGATTTTCTGGATTTGCGTTCAATTCGTTCTTCTGCATTTTTTGATAATTCCATGTAAGTTCCCTGCATGCGATGCGTCGTTGCGATATCATTTCTCCTCAAGTATTTGGTGTATTAAATTGCGTTTTATTGATGTAATCTGGATTCTCCCTGGTCGTAGTCTTCACTAATCCCCTCGACAGAGTAATCGCTTTGACGTATTGTACCACTGACCTCATCTTAAGCAAATTCATTTTTCTGCTTTATGAAAGTCCAATAATTGAATCAGTTTCAGCATTCTAGATCTATGGAGGCATTTTCTGTGCTTTTATTTTTTTAAATAAATTCGAATTCGGCATTTCACACGCTTTGTTGGTCAACCAACATGCAGTGTGTGAGCCCTGCCTGTGCTAGCTGTCTAGACCGGCGTTGTTTTGTTTCTGTTCTTAAAGCTTCACTGTTAAGGTTTAGCTTGCAACTGCCTTAGTTTTTCCAACAAGTTATATTACCTCAGTTCTACCGTTTTCGATTTGTCACTGACACCTAACACTGTGCATCGCATTACCCGCCCCCCCTCATTGCACCACTGGTATGTACATGTATCAGTCCAGCACGCCAGCTTTAACTCAATGCATCTCACGCATTTAGCCGGCGACCCATCAGCTAACCGCACACCGCGGCCGCGCGCTCAGCCGAGTGAAGAGCCGAGCTACCTCGGTCGCTTTCTGATCAACCCAGCTGTCTGGCTCAAAAGCGGCGCGGGGTTGCTGGCGCAGTTCGGCGGAGGCGGCGGCTCGGAGCCGCTGCTGGGCGAGGGTGGACGACCTGTTCGTCTGCCCGCCAGTCTCGTGGACGAGTCGAAGGCCAAGTTTAGTCTAAATCAATTCGACGTGGTTGTAAGCGACTTGATCAGCGTGAATCGAAGTCTTCCCGACGTTCGTCATTCATCGTAAGCCCTATTGGTAGTTACTACATACTGCGGACTGCTTGCACATCGTTCGAATTTATTGTACCCCAGTCACCAGCTATAGAACTACTACATTTTAGCCCCGCGAGCATTATGCTAACGGCGTTTTGTAGTCCAATCAGTCTTTTTGCGTAAAATTCCCCTGTTTTAGTGTGTTGCACAGCAGATAAAATAGGACGCCTTTTTAGCCAATGTAGGAAACGCCTAGCTTACTAATCCCCACCCGATTCCGCCGATCAATGTTGCCGCTGTTTAGTTAGCACGCCGTCTCCCACCCCCTAAATCAACCCAGTCAATGTCCGTCGGGTTTGCAAGACCATCGTCGTACGTACACGCATTCTACCCCCATTCCAGAACGCCGTGAACACCATAAATTGCTTCTTCCTGTGTTGGCTAATCTAGCCTGCCCAGACAAGTAGATGCCTTTCACAATCTAATTCGGATTGCAGTTTTTCTGCAGTTTCATTTGATTGTCAGGCTTGGTCAGTCTTTTCGTAATCTCCAAACCACTAGTTCCAAGTAAATCTTTCTGTCAACTGATTAATCCCCCCAGTCATCGAATAGGTTAACCCGTATTTTCACTTGTCCACAAGTGTCTGTCGAGCATTCGCTGAGTGATCAGATGGTAATTTATACCCAAAAATTCTTTCTAAAACCGGCATTAAGACCAAACCCATCAAGCACTTGTGTTGGCCCAGAACTGAATACTTTTCTAAATTCCCACTTAATGATTTTGTCATCATCATAATTGATTAACAGTGCGTTTTCCAGACAAATTGCTGTTCCACATGTTCTGCACTATCGTCGTTTTTTGCATTTTTTCGTAACATTTCCCCTTATTTCGCTCATCCTATGTGAACATCAGAGTTGTGGTTCCCCTTTGCAGATGTCGAAACGATCACGCACAGGCAGTAGCTGATCAATCGGGCCTAAACACGAGTGTAATTATAGTCTTTCACAACGAAGCCTGGTCCACTCTCCTCCGAACTGTCCACTCCGTTCTCAATCGGTCGCCGACAAAGTTACTGCAGGAAGTCATCCTTGTCGACGACGCCAGCGATCGTGGTAAGGCATGCAACTTAATGCTTCCTACATGTAGAGCACTGTAAGACCGCATTTACCACCTCCCATGGCGTAATGTACACAGTCCTGCGCATTTATTGCTACTTTTTTTAAAGCCATTCGTTTACATAATGTCCTTGAGACTTGAGGTTCGCAAAAACACAGTTGGAAAACAAAATCACTGTTTTAAGCGATCATACCTTAATTCATGACTACCTGGGACTCGATGCTCTTTACATTACTGATTGCTTGTACAATGTCTGCCAGGCATGTAAGTTCATGATCGCGCTCCGAAACGCCCTATTTGGCATTCTTTGATGCCTAAATCACGCTTTATTTTCTGGCAATGCTCACTTACTGCACGATGCTGGACTAATGCCTCGCGTCGGTCTGTAAAAGAGTTTGACTGTAAAATTGATTTCGCCGATGTTTCGGCACTAGTTTAATGTGGTCCCTTGGGGGAGTTTGTGATCGATGGTGAGTAGAGCTTGTCCATTAAGCCTTTACTCCTAGACGTGGTGTCTTCGAAAGACGAAAGACGACGAATTTGTTACCACCAAATTTTCGCGTTTGCTGACCGCTGTAATAACTAGGGAGGAGTGTGTGTGTGTGTTTATGTTACGCAGGCTCAACCTCAAGTGAAAGCAAACTTGATTGCTTCAATTTGCGTCAATAGCGTTCAGCATTATCTATGCGTAAGGAAGAGTATACATGTAGACGGTGCTCCGATGTTTCACCACCTTGAAATACCTGACCGATTGGCCAAAAATTGGATCTAAACATAAAAATGACACCACACGTAAAAACACAAAAATACGTGGTACTACCATTTTAAAAGATCACATCAAGACAGCACATGTAATATTTTTGCTTGTGCATACATGAATTTACAGGACTTCCTCCCTAGTACTGAATGCTACATCGTGACCTCAATTTTTCGCAACTTTATGGTGTAGATTTCTCCGGATACATTTTGTAGTATATGTGTGGTTTTGGGAATACTAGCGGTGCGAGGAATTCCTAAATTCGCAAATGTTTCCTCATTTATGCAGAAAGGTGGCTCTCGGCAAACGAGGTGTGTACATGTGATTACGTGTAGCAGGTGTGCACATCGGTATATACTGTTAAACTCTGAACTATACTTGGTAAAGAGTCAAGCAACTGAAAAATCACGCCGAGGTTTCTCGATGTCCACAAATCCCGCTTCCTCAGTGATTGACTTCCTTCTTTTGTCCTTAACCCACATCAATACATCGCGCTTACTTTAAATTAATGTTTTTTTTATTCGGCCACTCGTAGACTACTTGGGGGCAGACTTGGACGCGTACGTGAGGCGCCTGGGCCCACGTGTCAGGCTGATACGTCTGAGCGAGCGTTCGGGGCTGATCCGAGCTCGTCTGGCCGGAGCGGCGGCAGCCAGGGGGAGCACACTGACCTTCCTGGATGCGCACTGCGAGGTGACCGTCGGCTGGCTGCAGCCCCTCATCGCGCATGTGCACCTCAACCCGTTCGCCGTCGTCTGTCCCGCCATCGATGTCATCTCCGAGACTACTTTCGAGTACCTCCAAAGTGGGTCTTGCGTGTGTGTGCGTGTGTGCCTCATCCGAGAATTGCGAGGCTTGAATTTGATGTTTCCGTCCCCATCTTTGGCTCGATCAGCGCCTCATGCATCTGCGTGGCTATAGCCTATGTTGGCCTCGCTGCTCGGTCCTCTTTATGCGTAATCTTGGAGTCGTCATCAACGTCTGGTCTCTCAAGTAGTTGTAGTAGTAGCTGTTTTGGCTTTTCACATGCTGGTATGGCCCACTTCACTACACGCTTCTAAGCACTTGTGAGGCGTCGTTTGAGGGAAAACTCGCACTCATTTTGATTACCTGCAGAACTCCAAGCTGCGATTGGGTCTCTTGCGAATGAACTAAGTACAGCGTTTAGTGGTGCCTGCATTGCTCCTATCTAGAATGGAGTGCATGGTTGAGACTGTAGTGGGTTCCAGTGCGGTTTTGGAAGCTACTCCAAGGCCGACAATCTACGTTGACACGGCTCGACCGAAAGTAGAGCAGAACTGCAGATGACCAGAAGCTCAACCAATTTATTAAAGCAGCAGCGGAGTGTGTTGTGTACAGGCTAGTTGGTGCGTTTATATAGCCTGGCTAAGCATCGATCCCTGAACGAGCGGAATCGCCTAAAGTGCGTTCACGAAAATCGATTGAATCGTGTTCGCTCACGCTTGTTGTGCGCACTGAATCGGTCCGACCGCAAAAAGTCAATCAATAAGAAAATTATCGATCTTAGGGCTCAGATTATGTCAGCGGTTACAAGGAACCACACCAAGGCCGACAATATGCGTTGACACGGCCTAACCGAAAGAAGGAGTAAAAAATGCAGATGGCGAGTCGCTCAACTAATCTATTGATGCGGTAGCGGTATGCGGAGTTACATGAAGTGCATTCGCGAAAATCGCCTGGATCGTGTTCGCTCACGCTTGCTGCGCGCCACAAGACCTTTGTGTTGAAATCTCCACGAAATCCACTCAATGCAGCACAAATTAGCCTCATGTTCGAGACGTGTTTTCCTCGTAGTAATTGCGAAAGCACGACAGCAGGAATATTCTTCCTTGCTGCTGAATTCTTAGCTTCACTGAAGACTCAGAGTTTCTACTGTGCTGAAATTAAACCTAAGCGAGTTGTAGTTCCTAAATCGACGGTTAGTATTCCCTCAGTAAAGGCAGTGATACCTCTTACCTGAACTTTTGCTCATGCCGTACACCGTCTTTTGCTTATTTTGCGTTGTGTAGGTACTGAGAAAACTTGGGGTGTTTTCGGGTGGGACCTCCTGTTTGACTGGGATGTCGTCTCACCTCGAGAGGAGCTGCGGCGTCAGAACGAACCTTCAATGCCCATTCGGACGCCAGCCATGGCCGGAGGTCTTTTCCTCATCAGGCGCGACTACTTTTATGGTGTAAGTAGTTAGTGTTAGTGGGTAAGCAGTCTGTAATGGCCAATCCCTCGTCTGCTTTAATACCACACAGTTGCTCGAAATTGGACTCCTTAAAAATCAATCATTCGATTTACGGACTGCGCAGGCTGTTGAAAGAATCGCCAATGTGAGGTTTTTATGATCAAATTTCGTCAAAATGTTACCTGCAAGCATTCATTTGCAAGAATTGTCCTCCTCTGACCATGCTGCCCGACCCATAGCTAGTTGCAGTGGAATTCCTCTGAAAGCACACCATCTATCGCAGAACCGGTAACACAAATTCTTCATCTCCCACAAAGCTAGGTGCCTACGACGACGGCATGGAGGTTTGGGGCGGCGAAAACGTGGAGATGTCTCTTCGAGTGTGGCAGTGTGGCGGTGAATTGCTGATCATACCCTGCAGCAGGGTGGGCCACGTGTTCCGCAAGGTCTCGCCTTACTCCTGGCCCGGGGGTGTCACTCACGTCCTCCACCGAAACCGTGTTCGCACCGCTCGTGTTTGGCTTGACGAGTACATCGAACTCCCGTTTGCGCTTGACCCAAGTGAGTCCAATCACTTTTTTGCCATCTTTTGAACTGCTGGTGGATGTTAGTGCACACAAGTATTGATTTTCTTGCCGGGTACTAAATATACCACCGCTTTATATGCTTTTCTTCTCAGATTTAACCGATTATGTTGTTCTCGTCTGCTTAGATCCGTTGGAGTGCAATTTTATCGCATGTTGTGCGTCTAGTGCTGATCTTTCAAACGACTTTTTTACTCCAAGGTTTGCGGTCGTTCCAGTACGGCGACATTGCCGAAAGACTGGCCCTCCGAAGGCGCCTGAAATGCAAAAGCTTTTCCTGGTACCTCACCAACATCTTCCCGGAATCCAACATTAGGCTGCACATAAAGAGGCTCGGTCGGGTACGTTAGCCGTAATTGTGGACCACTTTTTTTGTTAATTGACTGGCTGGGCGTAAAAACCGACTCAATTGACACACGTATATTCACGCCAATTATTGCTGAATGACACCTTGTCTGCGGTCCGTCTGTCAGCTTCCCGAATTAACGAATTGCCCACTCAGCTAATGAGTTGTAGCGGACCCTGGTGCGGTTTTGAAAGCCACGCCAGGGCCGGCAAAATGCACTGATAAGAAGGGCAGAAAATGCGGACGGCTCGTAGCTCAACTAATATGCCGATGTGGTAGCGTTCGCTAAGCACCGATCTCTGAACGAACCTATTTACGTGAAGTGCATTCACGAAAACCGACTGAATCGTGTTCTCTGACGCTTGCTAACTGCGTTCGGTCACGGCTGCTTGCTGCTGCTCGCCACAGCTCTCCCCTTGGTAAAGGGAATTGGCGAATAATTGTCGCTGGATTGTGTCGGGAATCGATGTTCATCGTCAGTAAGTTAGAGGGCCTCCGAAGATTTGGCGTCGTCCGGAGGTGATTGGGGCCAGGGATAAAACCTGGTTTAGGTAGGCGGGAATTGCGTACTGAAGCCAGTCTGATACAGTGGGGTGTAGGGTGAAATCTAGGTTTGGCGAAAAAACGGAATTAAGGCCTAGAGTCGGGCGTTGTTTGAGAGTAACGTTTGCACACCGTTACTCGAAGGAGGGCATAATGACCTTTTTTACTGAGACGTGAGATGGATTCAACACGCCGCTTAAGTCGTACCGCAAAAGTGTCAATTGAGAGGTCGTAGAAGGTCGATACGCTCTAGAGGACGAGAACGTAGGCGTGATAAACGTGTCGAATTGAATCGGCGGACCTTCCACTGAAAGGTCACTCTACGGTGTGGTGTAGTTAATTGCACGTTCGCTGTGTGAGGTAGACGAGATCGAAAATTAGGAGTCGAGCCAGTCAGATGTAAAGGGACCAGGCGAGAGTCGGTCGAGATCTGCAGCAAGGCACGCAAGAGCGAATCGGGAGTCGGGTTGAGCTTACAAAATGGTCGGAAATGCGCAAGTTCAGTCGAGTCAGAGCAGTTCGTGGGCCATCCACGCGAAAAGTTGATTTTTAGCTTGTAAAAGGCAAAGCGAATTCAATAGCGGGGTCACCAATTTGTAGCGGGCCCCGGTGCAGGTTTGGAAACCACACAAGGGCCGACAATCTATATTGACACAGACCGACCGGAAGAGTGGAAAAAAATGCTGATGGCGGGTCGCTCAGCTGATTTGTAGATGCGGTAGCGTTGGTGTGTGTACAGGATAACAAGTGCGTTTCGATAGCTTCACTAAGCACCGATCTCCGAACGAACAGAGTTGTGTGAAGCGCATTCACAAAAACCGACTGGATCGTGTTCGCTCACGCCTGCTGCCCGCCACAAAATAGAAACGTCTTAGAGGCCCTGTTCTACCGCACAAACTGTATTCCCAAAACTCGCCAGTGATTTGTACTCAGTTTGCTTTCCATCGTTCCCACTGCAATTGCGGAAGAATGCGACTTGGAGACTTGAAAAGTACACACCCCTGCAATTTAGTCCACAGCGGTATTCGCTACCTGAGCTGTCTGGCGTGGAAATGTAACAACGCTTTCCGCGTTGCTAAAATCCAGCCCAATTGAGGTTGCGCTTATATCGCTTGCGTTTATCCTTGAGACCTCCTATCAACTGCTCCTTTTCCTTTTCAAGATAAGGAACCCAATTCATGAGGTGTGTTTTGACACGGGAGGCGCGCGAAGGGGCCACGCAATCGGAGCAGCGGCTTGCCACGGAGAAGGCAGTGGTGGTGCCCAGCAGACCTTCTCGTTTTCCGCGCTGGGCGAGTTGACCGCACCAGCTGGCTGCCTGGGCGCCCGACTCCTGCGAGACGGCCTCACTCTGGGCCAATGCGTCGGTGGAGCCAGCGACTTCCAGAAGTTTGCCTACGACGAACAGGTCAGCTGTGCGTGGGGATTCCACTGTAGGATGTCAATCCTTAGTCTGGAGTAATGTCCGCATAGAACTGTGTGGCATATCCAACGCCTTGGTTCGTCGAAGTGTCACAGAAGTTTGGCGTAACTTTCAAAACACAAACGCAGATTCATTGTTGCAAATTCGACTATGACTCGCTAAAGCTACCCTACTATTTTAAACCCCCTGTATTTAATTAGCCAATACCGCGTTTTTGTCGTCTACGCTGGCGTTAAAGATCTTGACGAATTTGTCATTCTTGTTTAGCGTGTTCTAGAGGAATTGTAAACCTCAGAGTGCGCACCGTTGTTGTCACCGTACTGCTAATGACAGACTCACGGCACTCTGAGTCGTCTGTATGTTGACGGTTTACATAGTTCTGCATTGGAAGAAAAACCTGTTTTCCCATTTTAGTCGACATCTCTTGCTTACAAGTATCATTTGCAAAACCCCCACGGTATTCGGGGTGTCTACGCAAACTGTTGGGTGATTGCCAATTTCATACTTCTTTTCTGCTGTGATCGCACATCCTGTAGTGTAGTAAGCATACACATCCTCTCTCGGCACTTTCACCAACCGATTCCTGAACCCCGTATACGCATAAAAACAAAATTGCTAAAGCCAGCGTCCCCAAGCACATTTGGGTCGTGAATTTTAACAGGTGTCGCAAATATTTCCAATAATGCCCCAGAATCTTGGATTCCAATGTTACCTTTCTACATTTCAACGCAGATTTACCATCGTGACGATAATTTTCACATCCGTACTTGCTTTTCTAGACAAAGCATATCATCCATATTCGATCAAAACTTTGTGTTCGTGTTGACACCACACGCCAGAATCTACCCCTCTTCATCGGTACGTCCAATCGAATCTATGCTTGAATCGTGCGCTAGATTGTACCTATTTGACGTGTTTTTGCTCCTAGATAATTGCGCCAACAACGACGAATTCTCATGGGAATTGCCACCCCCTTTTCTCAACCGGACTTTTCAACACCGCTAAGAAATCCTTCTAATTTGAATTACAAAATGAAAGCGCACGTCTTCCCACTGCGGTCTTCCGAATTACAACAGATTGCCACGAGACCCCTCGGTAGAATGGCGTTAGATATATTTTGGCCCGCATTTCTAGTCCCTTATTGCACTGTTAACCACAGTTCATTTGTATGCTTAGTCATCTTCACCTCAGCAATGCAATTTTCTGCGACCATGCTTTGTTAACAATAAATCTTGTCTACACAACGTCCACTACGGCGCACGTTTTTCTCTGGTGTGAAGATGTTTTGCGCCTAGAAGTCAGCTGATTTCGCGAGTTAGTCTAAAAACCGCCACCGGATGCATCCACTCCCTTACAAGAGTACATTGAAAAACGCCAAACACCGAACACCACAGTTGCTTCGAGTCCATTATAAAAGGCAGCACAGGCGAGCAAAAATCTTCATGCAATACAATATGGATTTACAGTGAAAACGCGACAATGGGAGTAATGTCTAACTCTGCTGGCATTCTGGTTTTTCGCTGAGATTTGGTTCTTTAGCGTCGCTGCGGCCTCCTCTTTTCGGTCGACCGCGCTGAAATATGAAGAATCAACATTGCATTAAATATCCTGAAGGGTAGGAATTGCGGTCGAATCAAGTGGTGACTTGATAAAATCTGATTTCGAAAGTGCGTCTAGTCACAATGGCCAGATTCTATTCTATACATTAGGAACTCTGTTTAAATTAATGTAAGGGAGAAACAAGGGGTTGAGATTACTGATCATTGAGAGGCGACCACCATCACCAACAACCACTCGTTGTTGAGCTGCGACACCGGACGCAGCTAGTGCGAATTAAAGCGACGAAATGTTCTACACCGTCCACACTAATACATATTAAATTAGAGCAATTTCGCTCGGAGCTAAACACCGCAGATTTAACACACCTTCTGACGATCCAATTCTTCCTAAAATAGGAATGAAAGAACCTATTAAGTTAACTACGGCAACGGTGCGTGATTTCGTCCGTTGAGAGTGCACATCTGCGTAGGGGGCTCCACATCTACATCAGAAGCTTCCTTAAATAGGGGTAGCACCACTATGCACTTATTTTTTATTCGTCCAGATTCGAGTGTTTATGTCAACATTTGAATAAACAAAAACCTGGTCACTTGACTTACATCGCTGTCGTCAACGTCGTCGTCATCATCATCTCCATCATCGTCGTCACTCTCTTCATCAGATTCATCCTATAAAATATTGAAAATACGCGTTACCAGAAATAGTAAGGAAATCTGACGGGAGTGTCAATGTTAAATGCTTACATCACTGTCAACAGCCTCTCCTGTGAAATAAAGAACGGCTCGTGGGATCAATGTTTCACGAATGAAATGCCCAATTCGGAAGTCCTCTTGCAAGAGTTCGACGGTATCCTCATCCAAATCATCATCGGTCAGGGAATCAAGTGGGGGATCAAAAAAGTTAAAGAAGGAGTCTTGTTTCACGGTTTTTGTAACAGTGCGCACCTCCTTCCGATTTTTGTGCTTCTTAATCTTCTTCATGATTTTAATTGTAATATTTTTCCCCGGCTTCCAATTGATGGCACAACCCCGACAACGCACAATTTCGGGACCATCGTATTCGAGTGGATTTTCTGCAGGTGGTTGATTGTTGAATACGTACTGTTTCGTAAGCACTGTGTTGGTAAAATATTCATTCGGAGAGAAGTGGAACTCCAAAGTAAAGCCAGTTTCTTGGCCCTCGGTGGTTAGATTAACTTTGATGTCACAGAGATGCTCCAAGATAGCCTGATCATTATCGCCGACCATTTCAGCTGTAAGGCTGCTATGCAGTAAAACCTTAAGCCAGAACTTGGGAATTCCCTTTTCGTCCACAACTTCATCTGCGGTAGAATCTAGGTGATCGAAAGATTAAAATTAGACCAGGATTGCATTAATGCGAAAACAATTATACTAAAACAAGCACACGTAGCACGAAAATGCACTCTAAATTTAGTCAACATTCGGCCAATGTGACAAGGAATACGTCTACAAATTGATGTCCATTATTCCAGTAAGGCAATACAGTAAGATGATACCCACTGGAAATAGCCTAGATACAATGTGTTAAATGAATAACTAATTTTAAAGCTAATGGGAACAGTTTGTTGAACGGAAAACGCCAAGACCGGACAAAACACAGGGACCGACTGAACACATTTTGTTTCAGAACACAGGGCAGACTCGATGAAATCAAAAGCATAAAGACTACTATGTTGCGATTGAAATTTCAACCACGATTACTGCAAAAGTGTGCATAATAAAAAAACTTTTGTCTTAGAGCATCATACTTTTATGAACAGTAGTAGAAAACATTTAAAGCATAAGATAATGGTTAAGAAATCAAAAAAAATAAATAAATTCGATTAGTTCATACGACTGGTTTACTCAACATAAAATACACAGTTGCCATCCTTATTTGGCATTTCAACATTTACATACGCCAATTTCATCTACTGATGGCATTGTGTATTTGGACAACTACTGTTGCCATGGACAAAAATTAGAATTTTGTGTTAAGAATATTTCAACTTCGATATTTCACAGAATCAACAGACAACGTGAGGGCGACATTAACTGACTGAAGAGGTCTACATACACGTCTAACGGCAATGTCAGAGAAAAAAATTTAGACTATAACCAGATTAAGTAAACTAAATGTTTACATTTGAAGTCCGCAGACACAAGAGACAAACACAACTACAGAATACTGAAAACAGGAGAGGCCAGAATAATTAACGCCCGAAGATGCATTGACTTAAATTATAGTGTACTTTAAAAATCATATCAGTAAAAATAAAAAAAACAACTAACTGTCTTGGCCTTCAAGATGCTGCCTAGAGAATGCGTCCACTAGCTGAACTTCACCATCAAAAGGCCACTCGCATTCTTCGTCGGTGGGTTCGGACTCACCAGACACGATAGCCTGTCGCTAAACAAAAGGTATTTTAATTACGCACGACGCAAGAAACAGGTAATAGTACACATCACAGATGCTATACCTTATTCCACAAGTCAATGTAACGCGACTGATACCTCTGTTCAACTTCGAATATTTCCTTATAAAACTCCATTTCGATTTTGACGTAGTCATGAAGCAACTTTTTTAATGCTTTTACTCGTCGTTTCACAAAAACAGGAAGACTACAGAAATAGATGATTAATGGAAAGAGCGGCGGACTTCATGTATTGAGCAAGTGCTTGGAATTTTTCCATGTGACCCAAGTTGTCGAATTCGCTGTCACCAGAAGCACTAATATCATCCCCACCTTCGTTCACTTCTCTATCAGATAAAACGAAACTTAAGAAACTTACTTGATTCCGTCAACCATGATTGCTCAGAAATGTCGCCCACAGCGTGCTCTCCCTTACTTAAAGACGTGCAGCAAATATCGTTGGTTAAAACAAAAATGCAAAATTTGAATCCTGTTCGTTTTTTTTGAGAGCTATGAGTTTTAACTGCAAACAAGGTAATGTTTTGATTATTGTGCAAATGTGTGGTACAGGTCTATAATATTATTGTGGACTTAGTTTATCAAGTTTGAAATAGTTCAAAATATTTCGTTTGACTAAATAATGTTGGCACTTTAAATATGGGTGATATCGCCTCATTACATTTGCTCTTTTTAATTGAAATATATATATCGACAAAATATGATAACATTGTGATTTATTTTGGTAATCCAGATAAACTTGCTCAGAGTTTTTCGAATTATCTCCGTTTAGTCGTAAGTGTAACGCACGCCACTTTCCATGCCACCAAACACTATTCAAGGCTAGTAACTTCTACCTATACTTTTACATTTTAGGCTTGCCCAACAGTTAGTATACGGATCTTAGCGTGTCTCTCGACTTCTGTCGTCAGGTTGGTCCTCTTTTCCATCGAATCTTCTTGTAATCGTTATCATTATTCAGGAAGTTTCCTGTATTTGTCCCTTGCCATAAATCTTGTGTTTACTTGAACCATGCATCTCATGGCACCTCACGAATAGTCCATCTCTTCGTTTAGGTCGCATCCCCGGTGGCACGTTAAATTCGTGTGCATTCGAAACCGAGGAGAGTTTTTAAATAGACAAAACTTGATTTTTAAAGACAAAGCAATAAAAACAACTATTAATGCTATGTTCAGACTGTTTAGCATGGTGTCGTATATTTCTAACCATTAATTACTCATAGAATGTTTTCGCGATCGTAAAGTCACTCCGAAAAATAGATAATAGATAATTTTAATTCCTTTGAACCAATCGCTTCACTATTGGGCTAGTATTTTCTTATCCTGATCAAAGACATAATGTAGACTCCTAATTAGTGTTTTGATAATTCTTTCAAATACATTTGTTGGAAAATTAGCAGCATTTGTACACTGTTTTGGTTTGTTTGAAAGAACTAAAGTGCCTCTATGGGGTGTGTACACTGCTTGTTTAACCATTAAAATTAGCTGGACATCAGGATTTTTATTCTGGGGGTTGTTCAATTAAATACTTCCTTTTTCATGAACATTTAAAAGTATTGTGCATTTTAATCTGCGTAAATCTATTTAAAGGTGTTACGTTTTAATCATGCAGTAACACACAATGTCTTAATCGAAGTCAGTAAATCCTTGTGCTTTTACTCCAACGATGTTGGTCTAAATCAAGCCAAAATGAAAAGCTATGCGAACAAAATCTTTTTTGTGCATTTAGGGACTAAGATTTTTTGATCGTCCTCAATCATGATGTTATATTAATGTGTACCATGTGATTTAAATATATTTTTAGCTTACGATGCTCCGAATTATTTGCTCCGTTTTATATTGTTGCTTAAAACTTAGAAATGTTTGTGTCTGTAGGACTTTTTTAATCAATATTTCTTAATGCATTGCCTTTTCGTCAAAGCCAGTATAGCACCTTCCTAGCGCCAGCTCATCCACGAGATTTGTGTCTAGATTTTTATCAAAAGATAATTAGGCATCGTTTATTTCTCTTTGATTCTCTGGTTCATATAAGTTTAGCCATTATCTACTCAAAGATTGATTTTTTTTTCATTATTTCTTATGTCGAAATCACTGCGATTTGTTAGTGAGGTTCATAGCTTTAAAATCGCTCCAGTCAAGACACCATATTCCTTAAAGCCGCAGGAAAACATTTAGCTACTAAATGAAAGTTAAATGGCCCATCTATTGGAAGTGTTTTGGCTGCGCCTAACCATCTATGCGTCTGCATCCTTACTCTTGTGTCAAAAGTCCATCTGGGTTGTTAAAATTGGATTTTGGTTCTTACAAAGAGTATTTGCAAATTTGGCGTTATTCTGCACTTGACCCTTCTGCATATGCATGTTCGTTCCATTTTTCACCTGTACATTGGTGTTGCTCGTATTTTAGCCGTATTATCAAATCTGGCATTCAGTGAATCAATCAAAGGGTTCGATCAAAGGCGTCTGCGGTCCACCACCGTTCAGGTTCGTACCGCAGACGGGCAGGTTTCGGTTACGGACCGTAACGGCAACGTTATATCAAATATTACAAATTCACCACATCTTGACGACGATATATCTAAGTATGGCTTTATCGTGAACGGCAACCCCGATCTGCAAGTAGGCGAAGTTACTGTTCAAGGAACAACTATTTATTTCGGTACACAATTTATGTTTTCATCATCACACTAATTTAGGTTCGCAAGACGTTGCAGAGGATCTGACTACGCTTCAAGAAAAAGGAATAACCCACATCGTTAACCTCATTAGTGACTCTACTCCAAACACGTTTGAGAGCCAATTTGAGTATTTGTCGTGTAATTTGTACGACGACGTACAGGCAGATCTAATGCCAATTATCACCGCTTGCTGTTTGTTTATTCAGGAAAAGGTTCTCCCGTCGCATGGTCGTCTGTTTATTCACTGTAATGCCGGTGTTTCTCGGGCTCCCGCTGTCCTTATCGGCTGCCTGATCAAATTATACCGAATACCCTTCAGCGCAGCGTACGAGCTTGTTAATAGATCGCGAAACATATCTCCGAATCTTAACTTCAAGATGCAGCTTAGAGCCCTTAGTGCTGCTTTAGCACAAACCGAGGACCATTAACTTATCCCGTTTCTATTTAGTATACAATTCCTAAATTTTCGACAATGAGTAATAATTACCGCGTTCTTCCAGGAACCACTCCCCTCATACTTCCATCCACTGTACTGTGCAGCATTTACGACCGGCTAAAGTGAGCGCCGCAATCCCCCCGAACTTCTACCACCTGTTTTATTACCGCTGTTCGATGTTCACAATTTAGCTTGTTCAATGCAAGCGAATTGCAGTCGAATTCGAGAATTTAGCAGGTCGAACGCCCGCCTGATGCGCACTTTCTGACTTATGCGAAATCGACTGATAAATCAGCAAGTGCACGATCTAATTTTACAATGTTCAAGAGACGGTACACTGAGGATCATGATAAGGACTGGTATTAGTGGAAATATTAACATCTGTTATGATCAGGCGAGTGATGGCTCAGGTTGCTATCTGACTGGAGACAGTGTAAGTGCATAACGCTAGAAGGGGGCAGCCCCTGAGAAACGATCCACGCGAACGGCCGGTGCGGACCGTATGCGTCTAAGGCGAGGCCGCATTGGTCACAGGTCGAGTCGTCAGTCACCCACAGCACATTCGCACCTGCACGACCATTGCACGAAGTCGACGCGACTGCCTCCTCCCGCGACACCGAAGCCAGGCGTGTTGTGAGACCGAGTTCCAGGTCATAGGTTGATATTTGTCGTACCGTAGATTTTACTGCGCGCTGAAGAAAGTCTGCCACACCGTTGTTGAGAGGCCAATCTTCCGGCAAGCGTCTGCAAATCTAGGAGTCGAGAAGCCGTGTTAAGCTTGTGTATTTTGACAACCAATAAGTGAGTCTTCGAAACGGTTTAAACAGCTGAATGTGACTTCCGACAAGGGGTGTTCCTAACAGACAAGGTTACGGAAGCTTGTGTGTGTGCAGACAGTTTAATGCGCATTAACGAGAGATTGTATTCCTTGCTGGTGGGAGCCCATTAGGCAACTGTGTTACAGAACGTGGTACGACACAAGGAAACCATCGTTTATCAACTAGTGTTGTTTTCTAAATTAATAGCACAAGAAATTGATTGATGTTTTTTTCCTTGTTGAGTAAATAATACTGGAAAATTTCTAGTAGAATAAATTAAATGCCATACCTCGGTTAAATCGAGACCGGGGATGTCGGCCTCAAGCAACCTGGTTGACAGCTTCAGCAGGACAGGATCTGAACTGAAGTTGGAGGAACATGTCGACGTAAGCATATCTGTTAGTAATTTACATTGTATGGCGAAAATGTAACTGAATAGTAAAAGATATCGAAGAGGCCTGACCCAGAAAATGAGCTACACAATTTGAGTTGGCACCAAGAGAAGATTGCTTGAGTTTTTGGAAACACACCTAGCTAAGGTCACAGCTCAGATTTCGGAGTTTTCGGGTGGTACTTGATGTTTCTCACAACCGGTACAGACGACTTCCATGGCTTAGTCTAAAGGTTTGCAGGAATGCACGAATCTTATGACCCGAAACAACGCACTGGCAGCTGATATTGCCGAACAGTGTTTCCACATGGTGTACATACCTGTCAAGAAGGATCCTAATTAGGGTTGTGTAGGCGTCCACTGCTGGCGGGTTTCGGACACGGCTCTCGGCTCCGTCACCTCCGTGAAGCCAAAGAACGCTTTGTTCGGCCACCCGCTGTCGTGCCTGCGACATCGCACACCACGCACAGAAGTTGAGGGCCGCCTTTACATTGCGCTTTTCCAAAACCAACAGTTCTAGCGCCTCAGTGTACTTTTGAAGCTACAAGGCGAACCGTCATTTCCAGAGCAACAACACACACCGACAGCACAGCAACTAAGTAAATTTGCAGGGTTCGAGTTCATAATATGAGCGATGAAACTGAAATAGTGGCTATAACATGGCCTGAAATACACCTGGATCGACGTTCACAAACATTGGCTATATGTGGTACCAAATTTAAACTATGAGAAAACGTAGCAACCACATTCTGTTGTCAAGCCTACTACTATAAAATCGTGAGCAATGACCACTAAGAGTAATTCAAAACCGATGTGGGGCAATAAGACAGGATTACGAAGCGCTGAGCGTACAACACATCGAGCTTCTGTTTCGGTAGCACCCTTTTGAGAGCATAAATCACCTGCATGAGGAAGTTCCCGTGATTCACGTGGTGTAAGTGACAGCCTAAGCAATACCCGCCACCATCACAGAAAGTCTAGCGGGGTGTGAGGAACTAGCGGTTTGAACAGGAGAAAATGGTTGAATTCAACATTATCCGCCCGAAGCCTCAACCAGTGATCGCGTGGCTGAACGTAGCAGCTAACTTCAGTTGACGCTTTTAATTCTACTTAAACTTGAACGCGTGAGATTTCACTATGGCTCGCAGATCGTGGCAATTTAAGATAACGCACATCTCCACGATCCCCACTGGTGATCCGAAAATGCACATGGTTGTCTGTCGCATGTCCACGCATATTCTGTCAGAGTCTTTCCCCGGAGGCTTTATTAGTAGCTGCAACTTCACGACTGCTCACGTCCCTCAATGTTTGTGGTAACTTTTCTTGAAAGTTCCGTACAGTGGTGCAAGACCTAAGCAATTAGAAAGTAGTTTGCCCAATATTAAACCACTAAGGCTTTGATCGTTGTCAAGCCCTGGACGAAGGGTGCCAGAGCCGGCGTAAACCTTCAATTTCGACACAGTGGTAGAAGTCGAAACGTTTCCTTTTTCTCGAAAAAAATGATGTGAGAGTGAGGTGAAGACAAAAGTCAGTTACGGTGTAACAACACCAAGGCAAGACACTAAGTGAGCTATCAACGGAAAATTCGGCTCATTTGAAGATAACGAGAAGAAAATAAGGGATAAAATGTCCCTCGTGGCAACAAGATATTTTCTAATTAGGTTTCAACACTTGATCACGAATCGGGAATATGGAATACAGATGACAATCTACTCCAAACTCACTTTGCCCAAGAGCGTGACGTATTCATCGGTGAAACGATGAAAGTGAGGCGAAGTCTTTAGGGTTTCCAAAAGTTTTTCCGTTGGGCAGTCTTTTAGGTAAAGGAGTGTCTCACGAAAACGATGCCTAGAGGAAAAAAAGGACCTCAATGCAAACACAATTCAGACCGAAGAATTAGAATCGCACTAAATTACTACACTAAAAAGTAGTCTTAACAGCAACCCAAAAAACGGCCCTGCAATGTAAAGCATGTTTGTGCTGTGCAACCGAGGATGGGCTCTACTAGTGGTCACTTGGCCAATTTATCGTGACTCAACATTCAAACACACCTAAAACACGGAAAGCGGTAGGCTAGCACTTTGGCAATTCAAAATAACTAACACGACTCACCTTTGCTGAGCAAGAGCCTTGGGATCATCGGCCTCAGCGAATTGGAGGAGAAGACGCGCCTGCAGCTCTGCCAGAAGCACGTGATGGGCTTGGTCCTGAAAGTGACAAGTGCGTGGATTCGACAGACTGATGAGCGCAAGTTGGGCAGCAACACGTAAACAACAAGCCTTCGCGAGGAACTGACAATAAGCGGAATTAGCCGAAACACAAAAAGATGAGCTCTGTGGATGCACACTGAGTTCAGGGCACTAGGCGAAAGTCCAAGCTAAGTAAACCATTTGTTTGTACCGCGGCTGGCCGAATATTGTCACAAACAGAGCAAAACGGCGCTGTGTGGGTTAATTAAAATATGCACTAATGATCATTGAACTAAAAACGTCCTTTGCAGAAAATTATTTCGAGTGTACCTGCAGTGGATAACTCCATCTACAATATCCACCCGATTGGACGAAGTACTTGGTTCAAATTTATGCAATTTCGATACATATTCGAAGTGAAATTATAATCATTTCATTTCAAAAAGCTACAGTACACGTGAGTGTGCTCGAAAATAAACTTTTTGGAGCACTCTGTTGAAAGACGCATACCTTGTCGCCTGCCTTGAAAATGCGACACCACAAGAAGTTTTCAGCCAGGGCTGGATGCTCAGGTAGCAGGCGTTTCAGCACAGTGGCCGGAGCAAACACGAAGGTGGAGGAGTTGCCCGCCGCGAGGGTGGCTGGACAGTCGTCAGTCCACGTCGTGATGCCGGCGAGACCCTGAATCAGTGCGGCCGCGACCTTGACCCCGTTGCCGCCTGCATCCAAGAGGCAATCGAGGTGGGCCCAGACAAGTCTGGCGAAGGTGCTGCTCCCGGTTGAGTGACTGCACTTCGATGCCACTGCTGGTTGGGTGAAAGATGCGGTGTGGCCGCGAAACGCAAATGGCGCAACAAGAGCTCTGTGGAAAGCAAGGCGAAACAGGGCTGAGATGCTATTGATGCTTATTAAGACGTAGCAAGCCAATACACGAAGCCTTTCGATTATTATGTATGAAACTCCCAGGTACAATAGACGTGGAGGCATCTGATTGTAAACTGTTTACACGATTGCTGAACTTCAATTTTTACAGGTGACGTATTTTAGGCACACGAACGCAGCTCTGGCGTTTGCATTTGTGTGCGGAGCCACATACAGTCAGCAGACAGATTTTGGGTCATTAGCGTAAGCCCTCGCCGCTTTGTGGTTTATTTTTTGCGAGTTTTTGTCTGGGATACACGCAAGATTGAATTTATGGTTAGTTGCATGAGGATCATTTGCACAATGATGAGGTTTGTCCGACGGCCAATGAAAAACGGCCATTTAACAAGACGCAACATAATAAGATGTTGAGAATTTCACGCATGATCAACCAACGAGACTATTGGATCGCCTTGGGAGCACTGATGCGTATTAGGAAGTCGTAGATAGGGGGACACCAAAGGGAACGCAGTCGCCAGTTTGCCAGTAAGAGCGAACTTGACTTCCACAAGGACAAAGCCTGTGCTTCAACAAACACTTCTCACGTGGTAGCCCGGATTGCATGATGGACATTAGATTGAATCAAGATAATTCAAAGGTGTTGCATGCAAGCAAAGTATTCTATGCGTCAGCTTTAATGGAGGATGACGTTGAATGAGGCACCAGTCTACCACGCAACCGACGGGATCACATAAGGGGTATTTCGACATTTTTATTGTGACGGTGGGCTTGCAGTAATGCTTACAGGAGAATTTCATCACCACACGACAAGATGCAAGACGAAAACAGTAAAATGTCTGCATTTATGACAACCAATACAATGCCAGCAGCAGATTGTGCTAAGGGAGAGAGAGATGGGAATGCAACAACTTACGCATACAACGCGTCCGTGTAGAATTCCGGACCAGGAAACGCGGCGTCGGTGACAGTGCCGAGTGCCAAGCTAAAAAGCCAGGTGAATGACACCCATCTTAACAACTATCAGCGCAGCAATAACGTATTACTACTTGCCCATTTTGGCATGTCGATTTGCAGTGATTATCGGGGTTACCGTTTAAAGCCAGACTACAGAAAGCCTGGTCAATTATGATTCCTTTTTGTTGCTGAACTTTTCGACTCAACTTTAACTCCAAAATTTATTCGTCTCAATTTAATTGGAGGAGTGCCAGTGGTTACTCAAAGTTAAGAATCGTTGCAGCCACCAGGACGGTGTCTTTGTCCATCCTCCCTCGACCGGATACACCCCGATTTGTAGAAACGGCGTCAATTACGGTGAGTTTGGCATCAACGAATCCAGACCCTTTTATCCGGCTAGATCTAGTTCCACATGGTAACCTACGAACATCACTCATCATTCCAATCTATGTGAGGTTATGACCTTGAAGTAGCCAATACTATTCTATAAATTGCAATAAAACGCGAAGCTGCAGTAGAGTACAAGTTTCTTTTTCACTAGTTGTCATCAAACTTTAAGAAATAAGCTAGCACAAGTTAACGAAATCATAAGTGCCTACTGCTAATTCAGAAACCCATTCATATTTTATTTTCTGCGGACCTCAAATGTGAAAAAAAATCATTTTTTTTACCAACACTTCGACGTCTGTTGCTTTGATATGTGGCAAAATTGACTCGAGCTCATAGTAAAGTACTTGGGATAAAATCAGAATACGACTGCAGACAACATGAAACGCTTTAGAAGCGATTGTCTATTTTGAGAAAAAAATTAACATTAATGGCACCAAATACCTATTCTTGCCTGGTGCCTAAGAGCCAACAGTACGACGCACACAACTCATTTTTGCTCCCCAGAAAAAAGGCTGCATTTAGAGATGTATGTGGGCACAAACGCCACTTTTCGTCGTTTGTTTCAGGTTCAGTAAACTGCGAAAAGCTCAGCGGGATAAGAATAGGAAGCGACGTCCTACGAGTAGGATCGCAAAGAAGCAAATCGAAACAATTTGGAAATGCTCGACTTGTCCAACATACACTAAGGTGATGCTCTTTTAGAACCTAGAAGGCACCTTGCGCAGACTGCGATCACCGCTTGGGAATGTCTGCCGTCTGCTGGATTAATATTCGAAATTTGATCATCTGTTTGTGTGGCAAAAGTCACTCACAGACATTCAGAGATATTTATACTAAAAGAGGCCCTTTCAGTTCCACTAAGAAAACAACTCCAGTCACTTGTCTACCGACAACCCAAGTTACCCAGGCAAATGGTGGTGAAGATTTACCTCAAATATCAAATATGAAGTGCAAAATGAAATTTCGCCGATCAGATCAGAGGTGATGAACGTGGTTGAGGTGGATTTTGAATAAAATACAAGCCGTGGTACGCACAGGCGCATTTTCGATTAACACGTGTCAACGGCTGTTGGTGGCTTACTGAACGTAAAAAAAACCAAATAATATACCTTTGTAAGCTTTAAAACGGTTGTCAAACTAACTTTTGGGAAATCGATACGATTCCAGGGCAAATGTGCACTACAGTAAGCTCAAAAAAGGGTTTTCGGGAAGCGAAAACGGTTTGTGATGAAAATATAATCCAAACTTGATCAGACAAAAAATGCTAAATACAAAAAAACTACCTTTTCCATATGTTAAGGGCGCTCTCCATGTCACCGTTCCACCGACATACCAGTGCCTTAACATGGTAGGCACGATTCTCCTCCAGGAAATCGAGGAGGTCGTTGACGTCGATGTTTGACAGGGAACCCACCAGCTGCTCCCAATTCTCGAAGGCTCCAATGCCGACGGGCGAACAAGGCTCGAATAAGTGGACACACAGCTTCACAATTGCCGTTTCCACAAACTAGAAGAGGCAAGACACACACGTGCACAACAATTGTGGCGACGAAATTGCAAAAGGACAGAAAAAGCGTTGTGTGAAGCTGGTAACAACGGTTCCTTTGTTTTTGCCTATTAATTCCAACCGATTATCAATACAGAAAGACCAGTTAGATTTTCGGCATCATTTCGGTTTCGAAATAAATATGGGCCTTTTCAGTTGACGAATGTCAGACATGTAAACCATAAAATAAAGATTTGGTCAGGAATTTATAGCGGCTCAAATCGGCTGAAAAGCCTCTACCAATAGTAAATGATGTTTTGTTACTATCGAATAAATCCAAACACTGAGTCAAGAACTGCCGATTGCGACAAGAGTCGGTTTGCGGTACAACGAATTATCGTTGAAGGTAACTGTCAACGATGAATTTTACCTTTAGTTAGCTTAGTTTTCTTCGACTTTACTACGTACTTAAATTGGCTCAAAGTTATTGAACGACCTGCACTTCACTCGTCAGTATAATCTTAAAAAGCTGTCGATTTAAACGACATCATTCGAACGGAAGCCACACACACATGATGCTTTGTAAATCTTAATAATTAACACGTGAGTCGTCTTTAATAGTGTAAGCATAAAACCAGACAGCAGGAGAGGGGCTTAAATATAGATAACAGTAATTACATGCAAAAACCACAAACATCGTCAACGATTGCTTACTAAGATGGTAAAAAGTACTGATGGCAGCAAATTAGGATATTGTAGGGTACCAGAGAATGCAAAATCGGTAAATCAACGCCTTTTGGTCGCTGAAAGAAGCAACCAACTTGGATGTTAAACGTTTGTGCAAAAGTAACAACAAAGCTTTCTTCAGGTGTCCATCACAACTTAGCTGTTTTCCATACTGTTACAGCTGATCAAAAATGTATTTGCTGCGAAAAATCAATACTTTTAAAGTCCTTGCACGCATACATTTTAAGCAGTTGCATAGAAAGCCAAAGTAATGAATGAAAAAATAACGCCTGCGATCCGTGCTTCGCGGAGTAAAAGTGGAAGGTGGAGCCAAGGCAGCAGTCTTCTAGTCAATGCGCCATCGAGGTCCCGCGAACTTCCCGAAAATTTGCTCTCCGGTTACAAAATGCAGTGGGCGCTGAATCGTCCGCTGCGATTGCGCTCGGGCCAGCTCACTACACACGTGAATGCATACAAACTGGCCACTCAAAGTCTAACCTTCCGCCGTCTGATCAAGGTAATCGACGAACGCCAGAAACGACAGCGCAATCAACGAAAGCACCACCACCAACAACAAGAATATTCAGAAGAGGAACCCCCATTACTCATCGACTGCCATCGTAGCACAGATGTAAACGATTTAGCCTTCGCTATTCACTTCTGCCACTTGGGGCATTGCAAAATATCAGCCATCACTACGATGGACCAGTCGGATACGCCTCCAATGAAAAAGCGAGGCGAAAAACCCGCGGTTATTGACATGGCAAATCAAAGCCCAATACTTCTGAGCACTGGACAGTTGCATTTGACAACAACAACGGCAGAATGCAGCCTCATTTGCGGTTTGCGTGTGGCAAACACCTATGGCATAGAAAGTTTGAATAAACGATGCATCTCCTACGTGGAAGCCAACTTAGACCGAGAAAGCTGTTGGGCTCTTTGGAGGACCATATTCAAGCCACCAACACTACCCACAGACTGGAATGTCATTCAAATAGACGGAAAGGCCGGTCAATTGTTGATTGAGTTTATGCAGAAGAACTTCCACAAATTTATGAGGAGCAAGAATTACGTGGAAATGACGCATTTATCTGCTGCGGAACTCAAATTCCTTCTCGCCTCGGAGAGACTGAACGTGTTTTCCGAATCGGAAGTAGTCGATGTAATAACGGCGTGGGTGGACGTGCAACCGAAAGACCCTGTCACGCAAAAACTACTTCTGGATGTAGTTCCACATCTAATCGAGCATTGCGTGAGACTCGAGCAGTTGGACAAGGACGACATAGACCGCCTGCTACAACTTCCGGGAATGCGGTCGAAGAGGACCAATTCTACCGGCGACGGCCTACCACGAGGATGCTCACACTCGAACAACTCTTCGGGTTCGCGCCTCGATGGATGGAATGATGAGTTAAAGAATATGTGCATTGCAATGCTTCATCAAAGACGGCGGCGCCTAGTGAGAACATCGCGAAATCTCCGTCCCCTCTTAACCCGACCAACAGAAGATCATGAAGGAGGAAGTCAATGTGAGACTTCGAACCCTCAAATATCGGCATGGCCCAAACTGGCGCCACGAATACCACATGAAGCAATCATAGTGTTCGGTGGGTGGGAGAACGGTCAGCCCTGTAGGAATGCTAGGGTGCTAGATTCACGGAAAAAAAAGTGGATAACCTATGATGTTGAGTCCAGATCGAGTCTTGCGCTGCCACATCCGCTTATGAGCTTTGCAATTGCTAACGTCGACAACTGTGTGATCTACATAGCCGGTGGTGAGAGCCGAAGTGGACAAGCGACACAAGAGGTGCTTAGCTATGACTTCAGATGCAACAGCAGTAAACGTGGATGGAAGGGCTGTGCACCGATGCACGAAGTTCGCAGAGACCTCATTTTAGTCAACTTTCAGAACAAGTCACTTTACGCGATCGGAGGAGATAACAACCGAACCGTCCTCGATTCTGTTGAAACACTTTCCTTGGAGAAGGGCAAATCTGGCGTTTGGCTAGAAGTTGCCAGAATGATCATTCCACGAGGAGCTCCAGCCGGCGACGCGCTAGGCTCCCAGATATACGTGTGCGGTGGATACACCGAGAGCAGGATGGAGTCCCTGACAAACAGCTGCGAAACCTACAACCCCGCCACCAACCAATGGACTTTGATCCAACCGATGGCTCAACCTCGCTACTACGCCAGTGGCGTCAACTATCAAGACCACTTGTTCATTCTCGGCGGAGGGGGTGATAATTCGATGAGACTAACGACTTCGGTGATGGCACAGGGCTACAGCAGCACCGTGGAGCGATTCACTCCGAAGGACGGCGTGTGGGAGTTGATGCCTGCGATAGCCGAACGAGCTGATTTCGCGGCATGTGTGCACCAGGATGAGATATTCTGTATTGGTGGTGGGGGAGAAGCATTCTGTACAGCTGATACCGAAACCTGGCGGCCCTGGATAGGCAGAGTTCGAGGGAGTGAGTTCAGCGACGAGCAGACAAATGAGAGCGGCACGGGTAGCTATGCTCTAACATCTGACAATACTATTCAGGAGTCCAGTTCCGCCGCTACGCCAATTTGGATGCCACCTAGTGAGACGGATGGCGAGGTTACCGGTTCGAATCCACGGAATGCCGCGGGGCAATTCGGTGGCTGGCGCAGAGGAGTTCCACTCCCACTTCCACTGTGGGGCCACAGGTGTGTGTCAATAAGCGGGGTCGACAAAGTGCTTCGACTCTTGTCAAACGAATCAGAATCACTTCCACCGGAGACAGACTCACGCAGCACCGCTACATACACTGCACCTCAGAGATGGAAGATGGTAAGAACCGACGAAAGCACGATTCTGGCAATAGAAGACACAAGAGAGCAGATAACCGAGGAAGGCGAAGTGGGGGAGAGCGGGAAAATTGAAGTTCGAGTCGGGAGTACGACTATGCTGGTTGAGTATTAGATAGGTAACGTGGACAGGGCGTAAATCCAATAGAATTATCAATCGAGAGCAAATAAGGTGAAAACACGTGCGGCCTTATTCCAGAAAGGACACAGAGCACCAGCGATAATGATGGAGTTCTTCAATTAATGACGGCTCTATTTTCCACAGAACGTGCTCATTACGCACCATTTTAACGGACGCAGCAACCTAAATTGCGGAGGCAATAAGTGCACTTTTTCAGTCAAAAGTAAAGGTTTTTAGTTATTTGCTAACTTTTAAGAATATCCAAGACCAATTCAATAAAAAAAACTGCATAAGACCAGACTTTGGCAACAAACATTTGCATGCGTGGAAAGAAAGATTCCTGTGTGTTTGCTAGGGTATGACCCAAAAGTAATGTGAATCTGATTGAACAATGCGGACCCGGTGCACTCATGCTTAAAATTCACTCGCATGCGATTTCACTGCCAAGTAAAGCGTCCAAGTCAGCTGTCTTCGAAACCGCGTGTTCTAGCGCCAACATATTTGCTAAGTACAAATAGATGCTGATAAATTTTGATTCCAATTTGACATCATGTGCATAGAAGGATTAAGATGTTTTGGAGAAGGCTATTGTGATTTGAATGCGCACATCGCCAACGAGAAAACGGCAGAAATTCTCTTAGGCGCTGAGGATTTATCAGATTTAAAATACTCAGATTACACAGCCTAATTTACTCGTAAGTTTTCTCGCAAACCTACGATGACTGGCTTTGTATAAAGTGCGTAGAATGCAGGAGTGAAAACCGAAAATGCCATTAACTAATGTAGCTCGTACTAACCTGCAAGTGTGTAGCGAAAATTCGGCCGTAGCGATTTTCAATAAGAAAGTTTAGGAGGAAACGGCGAAAGTCTTGGACGGGCAAAAAAAGGGTTTCACTGAGATCGAAAATGGTACGCGGTGGCTCGTCAACTGGCGTGTCAAAAGATGCCTTTGCTGACGACTCAATGCGCAAATTGGGGTCCGCGGTGAAGGCATAACCACGAGGAAGCAAGTCCACAAAACGATACAATAACTAGGCGGAGGGTTAAGGTGAAGTAAGAATGGCAAGCGGACACCTACCTCACGGACGTCCAAAGAAGACTTTTCAAAGAACTCTCGACAGCTATCCAAGTGACCTGTCTCAAACAAGTAAAATCCCATCAAGGTATAGACTCGTTTAGACCTCTAAAGTGAAGTAAACGTGATCGTTAATGATGGCAAAGTACCGTGTTGAATATATTCTTTGCGTTACTGCTGGTAGCCGGGCGTCGATTGCATAGATCAATCAATTTTGCGTATTCTCGATCAATGAGATCGGAAGCATCTGAAAGACATCCTGCCATGATAAGTCGTCTGGCTACCAGGTCCCATGTTTCTGGTCGGATGATACACAAACACGGACCTTCGGTCGTGCTGTTTGAAGCAACGAAGACCATTTTTCGATTCAGAGACATGCAAGCAGCACTCACGTCTTTCACAACTAACGTCTGCAACTGCTTTTGTTGATTGGCACTGAAACATTCGTGGTTAGAAAATCCAAATACGCAAGTACCAGTGGATTGAAACAAACTCATCATCAACGGCGAAAACTAGTTGCTGGCGAGAAAATAGACCTGATAGATTGGCAGAGAGTGTTAGAGGCGGTCGGTCGGACTGGCCATTAGCATTAACAAAGATGCCTAGAGAGCCGGGACCGGAAAGCAGGAATTCCTCCTTCAGAAGACAAATGTCTCAGGATCTTGCAGACACTTACCTCCGACACCGTTTCGATAAGGGGTTTGTCTCGGCTGTCGCAGCGATCAAGTATGTCGGTGCATTTCCTCGTCTTGAGGCTAACACTATAGTACTTGTGATCAGTTGCGAAAACGGCAAAACTATCCCTACATTGCTAAAGGATATGCGTGAATGAGAACATAAAACGATAACGAGTTTACCATTGCAATTGCGGTGGCAGGGATATTTATGGTGTTCACCAGGTCAATACGGGACTTTGTTGCTCTGTATACTTGGAGAGTAAGACTAAGGTTGCAGACAGCAAGCTGAAAACTCTAACCACCTTACTGCGACTTACTACGGAATGATGCTCAGCGCCCATGGAATAATCGACGAGCGAGAAGGTGGAAATGTTGTCCAGCGTTTGACGCAAACTGGAACACTCCAACTTTTCGGCATCAAAGAATTGCAGTTTTGCGCCCGAAAGAGCGACAACTAAGTCAGCACTTTGGGAGGCTCGCAACAGTGAAACAGGATTCTTCTATTAAATTAGTAAATAAATAAACCCAATGCAGCTACAGAGATTTGGCGGGAGAAAATCACATTGAAAGAATAGCAGGTACCCCGCTCTTCTATTTCATCAAACACGATCTGCAACAGCTGTCTAAAATAAAACGCAACTTAGGTCACAAATTCGTTCTTTAAAACGGAACCAATGAAAGATCAATAACTGAATAATCGATCCAGTGTTAGGATCATCTCACGAGCGACACACCAAACATGTAAAAGTTCGAACCCGACTTCCCTAGATGGCGAAAGCATGCTCTTTCGACTAGACTGACCCGCTTTTTATGATCACTTTATTAACTGACGGATATCTAACTGCGCCAGAAGCCAACATAAGCCCCAACATTTTATCAAACGTAATTTGTGCGGAAGATTAATATGCAAAATAGAAAATAAGATTAAATGTTGGAACCACAACAAGCAATACTCAAGCCGTTTAGGTTGATCATGTCCTGATAAAGGTGGTTTGGCCAATTGAAAGATGATAACTTTAGTCTAAACGATAAACTTGGTTCTAGAGGGCTTTCGTCGTTGATAATGACATCCTTCGTGATCAATAATCCATGAATTACCCGAGAAAAGAGGAGAAGCTAGACACATGAAAGTAAAAAAAGCAGATACAATGGCGAATGCTGGACTGAAACCAATGAGTGTGTCTTTATGGATTTGGAGGAAGAGTTACAGAGGAATACTTTTACGGCTTTTTCTTATGTGGCTACACAAAGCATTTGGAGGCGTCCTGCGAGCGACTCCCCAGTTTTGAACTTAAAGCAGAACAACGAAACTTGCTTAGTCAATAAGACATCTTCTATCACCACAACACTAAAATACATTCTGTTCAAAAAACATTGCAAGAGGAAAATTTAAATAGGAGCTCCTCGAGGACCCCTATGACCTTCCTACTGCGCAGTTTCATCTCGTTCGTTCCTTGCAAATTAATGTGAGTGGCAAGAAAAATTGACTAAATGGAGCAACATAAAAACCACTTTACGATATTTTTGAAGAAAAAAAAATGCTCGATTAGATCCAAAGTGTATTTTAAGTTGTGATAGAGAATTTTCATAGTCAAGTAATATTTCTTCAAACGGATGTTTTAATTTTATTTAAATTCGGCCACAAACTTTAGTAATAATCCGATATTAACCATAATTGCACAGGTAACGAACAAAAAATTAGATCAATAGCCACTTATAAAAATTACGATAAATTTAAAACGGCCATCATTGCAATAGCGTTGTGTGGGAAAATACAAACTCAGTAATACCATTACAGCTTAGACAGTTAAGTAAAACTTAGGAGACTAAAAATGTTTAAACTGTTCCAGGAACGTTTAAGTAGACTACAAAAAGAAGATGATGCAGAGTAATACGCAACCTTTCTACTCTTTGGAGATACAGAGAATAAAAAAAAAGATGGCATAATTACCATCCTAGTTGCAAATAAGTGTGCGGTTGTGGCAAAATATGAAAGATAGAATTATACTGGCCTGACCGGTTTTTACAATAGGGAAGCGACAGCATATTCCTAGTCTGCAGAGAATCGATCAACATATTTACTAGTTATAAAACCAGTAACATTGGCTCATTCCGTACCAAAAAATTATAAGCCAAATGACTAACGATTCCAATATCTTCAGCTGTTAACGCTAAAAAATTTAACCTTAAGGAGCCTATAATATTTTGCAATTACTGTAGCAGCACAATCGTTTATACACCCAGTATCGTTTCACGAAGATGACGAAAACTAAAAAAAACAAGGTTGACAGAGGCGAGATCTCTGTGAAAGATCATTCGACATTAATTTGGCTTTGAATTACAAACTCGCCGTTTTGAAATTCATTGTATACAACTACCTACCCCTTTTCTTTGCTGATACTAAAAGAGAATGCGATCCACTTTAGACCTGTATACACAAACAATAAAAAGATCTTTAACCTAAACTCTGGAATCATTATGAGCTGGATACACTGAATAAATGCAAAAATCAACAATGAAGGAGTGGGTTCTATCAGGAACCACAAAAATCCATTTAAATAATTAAATCATGACGGTGACGTTATGGGCCACCTCAAAGTCACTTGGGATGAAACGCTTATGTTTCGATTTCATACATAAGATATAGGAGCGATTTATACCAGAATAAAAACATACCCATCCACACAGCCAACGAAGAGCAAATTTCCAAATGAACACATTGCCGATACTGAACTCGGCTCATCCAAAAACAACCTAGTGTCATAGGAAGCCTTGTAGACAGCATAAAACTCAACACCCATCAGGGTTATGAAGTCATGGGTTAATTCTTGCAACTTTTTCCTAAATGTAGAGACATCAAGGTCATTGTAGTGCAGTCAAACGTTAATGAAATATATTTGCACCTAGAAAAAAAAACGACCACTTTCTAAAATACCTATCCAAGCTATTAATTATAGCAAATGTGATTGATGGGAAATTGTTGAGACATCAATGTCAAATTATTATGGCAATTTTATCAGTGGGATTTCTCATAAGAAAACAATGGATTTTGAAGCTTGAATATGGTTTATCAGTGAAATATGCGAGCCTTCAAAACCACGCACATATTAAAATTCACTTATGTGTAATGCCGCAGTGAATCTTGGAGTTAGATTTACAGAGCCTTATGTGATCGAATGCTCTTGGATTACCTTAAATTGTTGCTGTATTTGTCATTTTGAGGGATTTTGAATTTGTAAGCGCTTGGCATTTTTCACTTTGATGCATTTGATACCGTGGTCGCATCTCTATTTTAAAAGTTGATTCATACCACGGCCAGGGAAAAGGGGCCAAAAAGTTGACAAATCTCGGATTTGGTCTTGTTTTTATAAAGGTCGGCTTGATTGTCTGCATGACGAAATGGCTTCTATTCCGATTGTCAAAAGTTTCTAATAAATTTGAGGCTGAATCCTTAAATTAGTGTTCTTATTTAGAGATGAGGTAGATTTTGGGCAAATGTCAATATACTTTTGAATTTTCATATTTCCACTTGCTAAATACAAACAAGCTTTTTAAATTACATTTAAAATCAATTCCTTTGTTGGATTATAAATACATCTAGTCACGGTCATAAATTTATTTTTACGAAGGCAGTGAATTATACATGTTTTCCAGTAAACGTTCCTCTAATTGTTGTGCAGTCAAATTACCTCTTTTCAAACTCCCATGTGTCAAGAAATTTGATTTTATAGTTCTTGTAATTAAGTAAATTATGGTGTAGAGGTCGTCTTTTTTATTCACTTTGGATCTCGGTAGGAGGATGATTGAAACGGTATTGTATGTTAGAATAATACACCCAAAATGCTTATTTGCTATTTTAAATAACTCCCCAGTATGGGTTTTTTTGTCAACCCGTAGACACGTCCTTGAAATTTTTTATGCATGCTCTTTAAAGTATATTTGTACATCACGCCGCTGATAATTGCGAACTAAAGTTCAACACTAAATCCACTTAAAAATACCATTGCGTTTAAATTATTTCATGTGTATTGAAGTGATAGCGGATTAAGTGCACATCTCTGCCTTGTGTCAAAAAATTTATACCGAATAAAGTACCGCTGGATTTTATGCTGGCAAAATTACTGTGATATTCACCAACTATGTTCAAATTTTTTTAAAGTTTAAAATGCAGAAGAATAACGTGCATTCCTTGAATCGTTTGCCATGTACCGCCAAATGAATCACCAGTCTTTATTAAGTGCTATAGTTTTCAACACTACTTCGCCTTTATCTGTGTAAACGAAATAGAACTGTAATCGTCTAACTTGTTCTAGAGTTTGGTTTGAATTAAGTCTAATGTTAGATTTCAATTAAATGGCTATTTACTTTGTGATGAGCACTCACATCCATCGGCCTGAACGCTAGTTCTCTCTTGATACATTAGGTTGTTTATTTCTGCCGTTATTTTTACTCCCACTTTTGTATTCCTTTTAAAATGTGGGTCCGTTAGCCCCTGATGGAGCGGTGTACAGAAAAGTATTGCCACATGTAAAAATTAGCTGCAGATTTTCATGAGCAAGGAGGTCCACAGACAGAATACACCTGCATGGAGGTGCATGAGACAGGGTTGCTGGCCTTTCAGTCAATAAAATCAGAAAATTTTTGTCTATTATTGTTACTTTAACAAAAGACCCCACTAAACTTTGAAGTTCTGTGATATTTTAGACCTAGGTTATCTCTTGGGCAAAAGGAAGCTAAGAGTAGAAGTAGTTTTGCTTCGTAAATACACTCGCAGCCATTTATAAGGTGGAAGTGCGTCTACATGCAACAATGAATCAAAACAGAATACATTGACTGTCAGAGGAACTTTGTATTGTACCAGGGAAACGATACAAATTACTTTGGCATACACAAGCGATTGGTAGTTTATCATCGACATAATCAAGTCGACTGCGACCAAAAAATCGTCAGTCACTAAGAAAATTACCTTGATCCAAATCCGCCCCTTTCAAATACAATGACTTGGTAAGACTTGATTGGACATCAGGGTTGAGACTTTGGGGAAAACGCACGGTATCCAGTAGCCTTTTTTACTTCTAGGGTTCATTGATAATCTCTACTAGCGTTCTTAGAACGGAGGCAGAGACCACTTGGTTGCAGTCCTATTCAATACCATACTACTTTTGCCAATTTAATTTTGTCATTGAAATCTAATTTTATTTTCGTCTTGTAGAGAACATTTTTAAATTTACTTTGCATTTTTGAAAAATATCTACTGGAATAGAAATCATGCAATAGCAAAGCTGAAGAAAATTCTATTTTGCCAAAATTTTCTTTTTAATAATTGCGACTCTTACATGGACATAAGCACTGACTGAAGTCGATTTTGGTAATATAATCACAACATTGTATTGGAAGGCTTCTCATTGATTTCGTGGTTTATACATATTGCTGCTTTCCTACAACTCATACCGGTAAACCATGACAGAGACATTCTTAGCTTTCCTAAATCTACCATTACAAAATAAAAAGTACTTTTTTTAAGCAGGCGTTTTTGCATTAAAGACAAATATCAATTATCATTAAAGTTAAACCACTCGTGCTTCCAATTACGCAACATATTCCGATTTTCGGTCCTTCAAATATTTGTTAAATGCACTTGCTCCTTACCATCCCAACGATTTGGGATATTAATGGTACGCGTTTGCGTCGGCTGCATTAATGTGTATATAAATTCGAGTATGTAGTTTTGTTCACTAATATAGCTGCCATGAGTTGCTTCTAACGAGTGTTTAATTCAGTTTCTACGGCTTGCTTGTTTCAGCCTCGCACCTGAAGTATTCTCCCAAAAAGTGGCTTTCCAACAGAAACACGCTTATCCAAAGCTACCTCGTTCATCCATGACAGCCCTTACTTACTTTCCGTGAGCCTGCACATCCTTGCTCGTAAATATTGCCTAAATATGACCGTGCGTGCTCTAAGACTGTACATTAGGTCTTCGAGTTAAATAAAATATCGTGTCCAACCTAGAGTTTTCATTACCTTCCTCGAAGTGGTGTCAGTGAATGAGACTTCCCACTACAATCCCCAGTAAATCTTGGGTGCCTATTTCCTATAAACAATTCCCAACTTTGTCGTAGGTTATGGTCAAGCATCCACGAATGATGGTCATGTTCCTTTCAGCCCTCAGCCTCAATCTACAAGAACATGAATCTAGACTAGTTTTTGTAGAAACTAATGAGTAAACACTCTTGAATTTACTCGTCATTGGTAAAAATTCCCTTGTCTGGGCACTTGCCTAATTCATGTAGGTGACATAAACTCCTTTTCAGAAATAAACGTGCTTCTTGCACGATTCAGGAGTAGTTATGTACTGCTGCGACCACCTTTGACTTCAAAATTCCCGCAATCGCGCCAACCACTTGCATGCCATGCCGTGTTCTACCTTTAACGCTTATGGAGTGTAGGAACATCTGTAGTGGTTTGCCATCCTACCTTCATGTCCACCCTCACTATTAGCTATTTCTCGCATTTCCACAATCCCCAGAGTTAGCATAATTAGGCTAATAACAACTCTCACATACACTGTAAAAGCATTCCAGGTCTACAGGGGGAGGATTCACAGCGCTGTAGTTTCAACATTCTGTTGGTAGTCTCTAAATCGAAAAACGGAATTCGAAAGTCGAACCAAAATACAATGCATGAATTCTGATCAGTGTTAAATGCAATCGAAAGTGAAATCCTTAATCCCTGGACTGTGACACTAATAGATTGTCGTCGTCACTAGTTAGGTTAAACACTTTGTTCAGCTCATTACAAATGAACAAAGCCTTTTCATTGTAAGATGTTGCTCCAAATCGTAAGCCGTCATGCCTGTTTAGACCGCAATGGTGGTTACCCTCGGTTGGCTTACGTAATCCTTTGCAAATCTTTCGCAAGATTCTAAAATACCTCCTACGCATCTTGAAGTTACAGCCTCGACAACGTTCACAGATTGTGCTGCTTTTGTTGTCGTGAAAATTTTGCTTCAATTCAGCAGGCAGAAGGTTGCACATGAAGTGGCCATTCTGACAGTCATGAATACATGAGATAACAACACAAAATTGCCGACAGATTAAGCTACCACATGCATTATATTCATTACCACAACGACTTTAAGAATTCCTAACGGCTTCAGAAGGTAGATCATGAAAGCCATTTGAGTGTCAAAAAATGCCATTAGCAAGTGGCCTGTTTTAATTCTTTCAAACTATCCTCTACATCAACACTTGCATGTATCGCACTGACATGCGAGAATGCTTAGGACAGAAAAAAAGATGTCTTCCGTTACTTCTGCTTTAAGTTTTGTTCATTCGAGAGTTAACGAGATCAAAAACGAAATCTATGTTAAGCAATTCACAAGAGAATTAAAGCTGATTTCAAGTGTCTTATCTTGAAAGGCGGCAAACAGTCTTGTAAGCAACACCATTTACTACACTGTGAATTTCTGCTTGCGTGACTGAAGAGTCTCCATTTAGAAAAAAAGAATTTAAACAGAAACTGAAATTAAAAACCCACGTACCGCATTAACAATGCCAGCTTGAAGTTCAAGCTCACGTAATGTTCCTATGCTCCATAATCACACAAATAATGGATCTGTATTTCTTTGAAATAAAACCCTGGAAAAGCACACGATGTCGCATAAATTAATCCATCGCCATGGAAACGTCTAGGCACCGTGTCAGAAGTGAATAAAAGCGACACAAGTCGCGCAAGGATGGTCACGCAGAGATGGACAACACTGGATTGTCACCATTATCAACAACCAAGTCAGATGTCACCTTTCACCCAAATAGTACTAATATCGCTAAACGCTGCAAGCAAGCCAACGAGACTGCCACCAAACAGCTCAGCTTAGACATGATGAAACTGAATCTGGAACAACGGAAAGCATGTCAACGCGTGGAGAAAGAGCGAGACCTATTTTGCCAAGAGTTTTTGGAGGTCGGTGATTCTGGAATGTACAGACGAAAATTGTCCGAAACCACTAGACCACGATATTTGCAACGTGCGCAAAGGTCGAAAACAATTGATCTGCGCCAGATTCAAGGCTATTCTCCCCTTAGAACTTCCTCCAAAGGCGCATGTTTTACGTTCGACGACGTCTCCCAAGGCATGCGAAGAACTGCCTCGCTCAAGGCAAGCACCTCATCGGCGAGTCTGAGCTCTTTCCACTCGAATTCGCCAGTGCTAAGCGAACGGCAGCAGCAGCAGCAACAACAACAGAAGACGGCACAGGGCGGTGGTGTGGGCGACAGGCGTACGTCCACTGAAGAAGCTCAGCCAGACTGGCAGGTGGCTTTGGCGCTTAGGCGGAAACACAAGTTATCTCAACTACAAATATTTCGTGAACAGGGACACTGGGGTGAAGACGGGTGCAAGAAGGCAACTGCAATGCTCTCCGGATGCCCCTTCAATCCAGTGTCTCCCGACTCAACTGCGCTGTCTCATGCAAGCGAGTTATTTAATAAGACCGAAGGAAATGAGAATATCGAGTAAACGCTTGTTTTACAGGTAAATACAGTGTACAAAAGGTTCAGTTTTGTGGTCACTTACCAAAGGATTTCAGACGGACACCGGGTTGTTTTCAAAAACATGGACCCTTGATTTCAAAGTAGACATCGCTAAGTACAATTTGAACCCAATGAGACACAAACAGGCAATCAGGTGATTCGTGGACTGAAGAAGGCAAGGTAATACCCAGAGCGGAATAATTTGCAGTTGTTGCAGAAGTTGTGGATGCCATAATGCCACCCATGAGGTATTTAGGCTTGCGAACTGTCACTAAGATGACGTTGAAAAACCGCAATTGATACCGGCGTTTCCCTCACCAGACGTTTAAAAAAAATGATGAGTAATGGTATTTCCCACGTGAAGCCAAAATGCCTACATACTAACTTTATTTATATTATATTAAATGGACTGCATAACCTTTTCATCACAAAGAGTCAGTCGCTGCAAGAAAAAAGGTGCATCAGAAATGGTCAAATTCAATTCCCATGTCTACACAATAAGCGCCACCTGCCAGTTTCACGCTGACGGCTTATAGAACGCTCAAACTGCCAAGTTTTGCTTGGATTGAGTAAATACCTAAGGTAGCTAACAAAACGCTCCTACGAATAAATTATTATTTATCTCCTAGTATTATCATCAGAGGACGCAATGTAAAATAAATACACTGACAAGGCTCCAGCTGTTTTGAAATTACGAATTTACTGTGTGGACGGTCGCCTATAGCCTTGCAATTGATTTGCTCATTTACCACTTTGGGAAAAAAAACCAAACAATTTGTGCATTTCGTATACCGTCGTGCCATCCACCGTCTGAAACACCACGAACTTTGTTGAAAACGTTACTTGCAAGAAAAAAGTAGGTGTTTAGTTCGTAATGCTCCAGCAACTGATTTTAAGCCCTTATTCGACCCCAAGTCCTGATACTTTTATTTCAAAGTTCATGTCTGTAGATGAAATTTTCCCCGTGTCGCTTCACTTTTCCTGCTACGCTGTGTGGATCCCGATCAAATTTTGATTAATAGTACCCTTGGAATGCGCACTTATGCCTTAAATCAGACTAAAAGTGTACAGAAGAACGTTAGCTTTAGATTCTTTTTGGCGTCCACTTGTTATGCCTGAGGCGTGACGTCGTACGTCATAGTATTTGAGCTTATAACCTGTGATGAGTGTTATGAATATGAGTCATAAATATTACTTATTTTAGGACCGCCCATCCAACCAAACACCCATTCTATCCGAACACACGCTCGTAGATTATGCGTAAGCAAATTTTAAGCACTATGCTATGACTAAGGTCCCATTCATACCCTTTAACCCATGTATACCGTAAAATACAATACCTGATTCTGAAGAAAACCTTCACAGAACAGACCTTTCTACACACATTGCTTTCTTAAAGAAAAGTTCTACTACTATCGCACTATCTACCCCGTTGAATTCACAGCGGCGAAACAAAATGGGGCTGAAACATCACACACATTCATACGTCAAGTAGGGCAGATAGCACTGCACACAAACCATGAAAGTGCACCAGACCTACTGTTACATTACGACTAGACCAACAACCGCGCATGGACTCTCAAATACCATACCAACAACCTCGACATTAAGACAATAGATTAAAAGATTCTCTGCCGATGATTTCTGACAACTGAATTGCGCGCACAAAGTATTTCAGAGGAAGATTGGCTGTGTTTATTGTGAAATACAACTGTAGATTTAAACAGCATACAAGTAAATACAATATAAAATTCGTACAGGCCAGGTACTGTGTTGCTTGGAAATACAAGTTCATATCCCTAAAAAAGGGTTAAAAGGCATAAGCAATGCGTGTGGGGTACTCATGCTTGCCTGCTTGTAACCAAAAGATTTTACCGAACTACAAGGACACACAGAGCCTACTCTGAACCCCCGCTGGCATTTGGATCTGCGGTGTTAAGGAGAATGAAGAAGAACACTGCGGGTAAGATATACATCCACTACAAAGAGCAAAAAGCAAGTACAAAATAGTACCTAAAGCGGTTAACTATTATATATGGGAGCAAATTTATTTCCGTTAGCGGTGGGATGCAGATGTACACCAGTGAAAAAAGCCTGCTCGCTAACTTCCCCGTCCAGTCAGTAAAGACGTCGTGTCCCACCAGGGAGAACACTGTATGCTAGGGCAGGCAATGGCAATGGGATGATTATTTCACTGTTACTCGATTCCGAGTGCTAAATCAAACTGTCTGTTCGTCCTCGAAGAATCAAAAGTAAAGAGATACACAATAATTCATTTGAAAAAAAAAATAATTGGAATAAAACTTCAGTTAGCAGTATAGCTGTTGATGGGACATTGTCCAGTGAAGCAGCATTCCCCACTGACTTGAGGTAAATAACATAAGCTGATCAGAGCAAACATCGTCGAAGTGAAAATGGATTCATAATTTGCGATTACAATTTTTTACAGGTTAACTACCTACCCACTTATTAAAACCCTAATTAAGGGAAGTAGCCTAAATATAGCAGTCAGCAAAAAAATCACCACAAGAGAACAGCTGAAAACGGATAAGTTGTAAAACGTGTTAACAGTTCACAAATCTGTAAGCGCTGAAGTGCAAACACAAACTACACAATGCCGCACGAAAAATTTACCTTTGGATTAATATACAAGTTTTTGCAAATGTAGTGGTGAAATTAAGAGGTTTATAAAACAAAGACAGGGCTTAAATGTTGGAATAAACAGTATATTTTGTTGCACCAAGTTGTACGCGAAAGGAACAGACGACAAAATCAATTAAAACGACAAAACGAGTGCATCCCTAACTTACATATTTCGCTAAGAAGGACCGATTATCTAACTGATCCTGTCGAAGCTTCTCTTCCCGTTGTCGATCCATCTTGGCCACGTATTCTTGTGTTTCAGGCCTGCAACACAATAAGCGACAAATTACATTGAAAAAAGTTTTTTTTAAAATACGAATTAAACCAACCCGACAAACAATGAGGGCCTTTGAAAGATTACAGACGTTGACAGTTGGGTCACAGAAGCAGGAAAACGAACGTTTTCAGTGCACGTCCGATTTTTCGGAATCACAGTTATCGCAACAGGTGAGCCTGAGGCATCAACACTTAGAATGAGTGCTAGTTTTCCCTCCGACGCAAGAAGCTGACACTAAAATTGGGAGAATAGACACATTTAACATAAACGGCGAAAATGCAGACTGAAATTGGCACAGAACTTACTGCTTGACAAGAGCCCACCAACACAGACGAAGACGAGTTTGTAAAAGCACGAACAATGTAAAGCGAATTACTCAAGCTTAATTTCTAAGAGCAGTTACATACGATAAAACTAAACCTCGATGGCCGATTTATCAGCGTCCGTTAAAGGAGATTCACTAAGCAAAAGATTCTTTTCCACACCCGACCACGAAGAAAGGACGCCTTTCGGAGTAAAGGACTTTCCTAACAGAAAATAAAGGTGGGCAAATAAAACAAATCTAGGGTTTGGAAATTTTCAGCGGAATAAAATTTTTGAAGAGGAACTTAAGACGTTGAAACACAAGTTTCATTTGTGAAGGTTCTGCTTTTGGTTTACGCAAAGCATTGCATAACCGAAAATGATTAAACCAACGGAGTAAAAAGACTCCGGGAATTAAAAACTAAACGACATCGCAAAAGTTCCAGCAATGAGAAACATCGATGCAGCATACATTCTAGCACCTTCAAAAAAAATTCATAATCGAAAGGGGAAATACTGGTGATCTCGAGCACATATACCTTGATCAACTTGCTCGTTATAAACAAATTACCTTGGTCAAAAGACTGTTCAATGGTCACATCCAGTGGATCAATATTATCATCCTAAGTCACTATATTAAAAAAAATTGACGGTACAGAAAGTGCACTGGCCACAAGAATGACTACGCAAGTTAAGTACACCCTAAGAATCATAGAAAAGAACGGCGCGAAGAGTCAACCAAGGAACACTCTTTTTAATCTTGCGACCAAAAAGTCAAGAATTTCTGGTGGAATAAAACAAACAGAGATTGACTTCATGCCATTATTTTGCGAAATAGATTCGTAAAATGCATATTAAAGGTAAAATAAGAGGGTGGTTTTGGCATGTTTTACTTTGCAGGGCTCGGTGTCTATTAATGTTTGCGATGGTGTGTTTCGAATCACTCCGCGAAATTAAAAAAAGTTAATTCTATTACGATAATCCTCGGACAGAAAATGAACAATGACACAAATCGGGCATAGTTGTATATTTTCATGAAACAAGTTGAGAAATCTGTTTTTTTTTCGATTCTCTGCGTGTGTTTTGCTTGTTTTATCTGTGACCTTGACTATGAGTATTTGAGCGTTATAATGACGTTTGAGGAGTGCATGGTCCTAATCATGAATATGCAACAGATAAGAGATATCTTAAGTCCAATTGCTAATATTTAGGTAGTAAGGACAAGTGTATTGAGTATCATGGGTGTTAAGGCTTATCAACCAATGAGATTTGATAAGTTGATGACAGCGAAACAGCGGTATTGAGAGGTTAAAAATTCATACATTGCATTCTGCGCCATCAGAAAAAACGCTAATTGTGTCATAAAATAAAAAAAAGTTTAATGCCTAATTTGTGCCCAGCAAACTAATGAAGTCCTGGGACTAACTACAAATATTTCAGTACCTAAAATTGCATTTGAAGTCGTATTTGCTTGTTGGTGTAAAACATTACCAGCTCACTTTTTTAGTATTCAATTGGAATCTCGCCTTCACAAAGGCAGAATCAGCATTCAGCATAAAATAATCTTAAGCTCTTGATGAAAAGAGGTTGCAAATAGCTATTCGCTAAAATGGTAAGTTAAATATAAAACAAATATTTGAATTGAAAATCTGGATGACACAGAAATTTAGACAGGTCTTAACTATTGATGCGTAAATATATTTCGCGTGATACTTATGAGTCACACAAAATATAAACTAACCAAAATAAATTGGACGTTGATTAATGTTATGGTTGAATTGATTCAAAGTTGAGCTCCTAAATATAAGTCAAATTTAACAAGAAAATTACGACATTTTACTGTCAATTCACTTATCTGTTTAAAATTAAAATGCCATTACATTTCCTTTGGGGCAACAGCAAGCCGGAAACTATACTTTTGAGGCTTTCAGAAATAATCTATATTATTATTGTGGAATATCCGAGCACTAGTATAAGGTTGTTAAAGCTAACAGGACTTTATTGATAATCACAAGCCAGAACCACAGGTCAGGCGCCGTCCATCGGAGTCCACCACGCTGGCTTTGCCAACCATTATATACCGCTTCTTACACGTATCTGTTTCTGGTTTGCTGCATATATTCCTCGCGTGCCATTGGATCACAGAGATACCCAGGATTGGCTGAGGCGAGCGCTGCCCAATATGCCTAAGTTTTTATACTTTACTCCTGTGGAGACATCTGAGGTCGCAGACATATTGGACGACGCTCGTCTCAGCCAATCCTGTGTCTCTCTGTGATCCAATGGCATGCGAGGAACATAAGCAGCCAACCAGAGAAGGACACCCATGAGGTACAGTATATAATGAACGGCGTGGCCAGCCTGGTGGACTCGGATTTGAGGGGCTTTGCTCTTTTTGACTTGCAGGAAGGCCACTTGTCCATCGCAGGTACCTTCTCCACTTGCAGTCTAACTGGCTTCTACTGACCATGTTTTCGTCGCCGAGTTTCCAATGCTTCTTTAGATGCCGTAGTTCTAATCTCGGGCAATGTCTGTGGATCCCATGTATGGGACATTGGAAAAACCTCCATGACCTTCAGTTGGCATTTAAGGGTCTTTGCGTCTGTTGTCCGTAGAAAAGTAAGGGCCGGGGTTTGATTGGCGTTATTCAAACGGATCCGCTGCCTCAAATATAGAATATCCGAGCCCTAGTATGAATAAGACTGGTACAACAGAACAGGCTTTATTGACCAATCACAAGCCAGAACCATTCATCAGGCACCGTCTATCCGCCGCTCATTATATACCACTTCTCAAAATTGTCTGTCTCTAGTTGGCAGCCTATCTTCCTTGCATACCATCAGAAAGCTAAGATACAAAGTATTGGCTGAGGCCAACGTGGTCCAATATGTCTGCGCCCCGATCCGTCGTTACATATACATGGTTCTGCAAGCCTAACTTTGTACTCTTATCAGCCTTTACCTCCCCTATTGGCCTTTCCACCTTGAGCGCATATTTGCCCTTCCAAGTGAACGCACACTTGGCCTTTGGCTGAGGCATTAGAAGACCTTTACGCAAAGTCTTGTCTTAGCCGAGTTTATAGAGGCAATCCATTACGTGTGTTTTGTCTGTGTGCTAATATGAGAAGCAAACCAAGGGTTCTTAGTAGTTGAACTCAGGATTTTGCTTCTGTGTACAAGTAAAGCCTGACGATTTCGTTTATTAGGAGATGTTACAATAGGTCTCATTTGTATTGTTGCTAAAACCAAAATACTTGCTGGATGTTTGAACGCCATGTCGCCTTTTCTGTCCCTCTTTTCCTCATCAGTCAGCTGATTTGCACCTTTGGAATGCTCACAAGGTAGCCAATTCATGTAAACAAAGCACTTACAAGCTATTATTAAATATGACCCATTGGACTGCAAAGACCACTTGATTTGAACAAAGTAGTCTAGAGGAAAATAAATTTTTTAAAGTCTTAGAAAGTCTGGATCCAGAAATTTCTAAAAATACCAAACAGCATCCAAAATATGGCCATCAATGCCCGTGTTCTAGTTTATGAGCTGTAGAAGTACGTTTTTCTTATTTCACACATCTCAGCTCATACTCACGATATAAGGAGATTTAAAACTGAACAAATTACCAGGTCTGAAACCACTAAAAGGCCTACATATTGTACATAACCAGGACTTCTAGGACAATTTTTGTAAAACTGACGTCTTTATCTTGACATTTACATTGAGTTGGAATTAGGAGTGCAATCACAGCCAAATCAACCAATCACCGCAATTCAGCTTAGACACAATTACAACGCGCATTTCTCGAATATCATCCTGGGGTTTGAACTCTTATTATTTCAGTTCTATAAAACACGATAGCTGCCACAATTCTACTTCAATATATTTTCCCTTGAAGTTTATTTTAATTTCATAGCAGCACTCTATAATTAAACAACATTAATTTCAGCAAGCATCTAGTCCAGATGCCCCTGCCTTTTCCTACGTTATTGGATTACCGTTTCTAATCTTATGATCACGACCCTGCTGAAAATTTGTTCAATGCACTGTGTGATGCAGTGTCGCTTTTTGTAAGTTGGCAAGTTACTGCTCTTCATTTATGCTACTCATTGTCCAAACAATAAAGGAGAAAGAATCACATCAGCGCATAAATTACAACTAATGTCGGAAAGCAAATCTCATTTATAGGAATTGCTGTGTGACCACTGAATATCCTGCGGCAAAGTTTGCTCAACCTTGCTAATCAATAAATTATTTTTAGCACTAAGATTCCTGTTACGTTTCAGCTTGTAGCCATGAGATATTTTGACAATACACGTAATAATCGGTTTGTCTTTACATATAAACGTTGTGTGTGCAACAAATATCCGTTGGGAGGTGTTTGCTAAAAAAATGAACGCGTGATCTGCTGACGTACGCTTTCGGCTTCTGGGCCAATCAAATCTCGCCTGCAATCCAAAGCCTATTTAAATGGTGCTGTACTCAGTCGGCCGAAGGACGAAAGAATAACGCTACATACATTGTGGATTATTTCTACTTTATTGTGCACGAAATGTACGTTACTATGTTGTTTCTAGTAATTTGACCTATTTTAATGTCCACACCGCATCTGAAGACACTTTTACAGTACGATGAGATACCTCTAATTCAAAAAAATTTGAAAATAAAGAGGGAATTTGCAGGAACAAAAAACATCTCTTAAAGCACATTTTCTCATGCTACGACGTTTAAAAGCAGGAAAAAATCTTACTTCCAGGGCAATTAGAGAGACAATATGTTAATCTAATTTCTGTGGACTCACTTAAAGATATTAAATAAATTGAGAACAATAAAATTCACATTTAACCCGTGCCGAAAATTACGAGCAGAAATATATTTAGGGGGCACTTATTTCAACTTTTACAAATTCGGATACGTGAAAAAACTCCTCCAAGGTGTTCAGTTTTACTTTATAAAAAGCTTTATGTTCACACACCAGTTCAACTCGACTGTTTGTTCTGCTTTAATTTGATGCTCAAGCGTCGAACTGAACACAGGTCGGCCTTGATTTGGATGCCATTCGGCCGTCCTAACCACAATGATACTTTCAATGAAAGGCAGAATAACTTCCATACCGGTGCTTAAAAGTGATTTAAGTCGTCCGCCCAATTCACACTCTGGTTGTATTTACTTTGCTGTACTTCATCGCCTGCAGCGGTGTGATGAAAGAACTGATGATCCAACCATTTTGCCCCAGCAGGGGGTTTAATCCATTTCGTCATTCGAATTGTCCCCTTATTTTCAAAAGAAACCACTCAAAAACTGTTTTCATGTTTCTCATGTGTGTATAATCTAGCCTAGCCGTAAAGTACACCTAACAGGAGAGGCGTGTTTGCACATAAACCTAATTTTAACCGGCCAATCAAATCGCAGGTAATGAGGCTATTAATAGCCCGAGCGCTGAGTCTATTTTTGGCGCATGGCTAGCTGCCTACTGTCGGGCGGCGTTTTACTGCCTTCAGCAACTAACGATCCACGTTGAGCTCAATTAAGGTGATGCTGTTTTCCGCTGCCCTCCGTTCACACTCCGCGCTTTTAAGCTGGTTGACTGACTGTGTTTCTCAATGCACTTTACTAAAGGACTTTTAATGCCGCCTAATCATCCGTCTCTCGACCCTGAGTTCGTTGGTACACAATCTTGTCTACTACACAGATGATAATTTCCAAAACGGTGCGTG